CCAACCAACAAACCAATGAGAGTTTCATCTAATTAGCTTGATTATATGTATTTACACATTTGTTTTCACAAGCTAGGTAGAGAAGCTCCTTCATGGCAAAATATGTTGTATAAATTTAATAACATCATATGTGTATCATTTGGGGTTATCAATATTAATCTTAAGCAAGTTCTAGATAACAAATGTCATACGCTTCTAGAGATGGAGAACTAAGCATTAGAACTATATTAATAGTGTATTATTTTAATGAACAAATGAAATTCATTGTATGTTACTAAAAACTCAATTGTTAAGCATGATGTAATTTAGTTTCCAAATATAAACAGTAGGCATGCTAAAATAAATACAAGATTTCATTCTATGTTAAAATGAATGAATCTTCAAGTACGAATCTTTTTTATAATTTATTGTAATACACTATCATACAGTAAAGCTAAACTTACAAGGCTAGGAGAGAGATAAAGAGAGGGGGGGGGGGGGGGGGGGGGGGGGGGGGGGGGGGGGTGCAGTGCCCGAACAAACACATGAGACTTAAACCCAAGACCTCTTAGTTTGGATCCAAACTCCCAATCAACAAACTAAGGAGAGTTGCATCTAATTAGCTTGATTATATGTTTTTACACATTTGTTTTCACACACACGAGACTTGAACTCAAGACATCTTAGTTGGGAGCCAAACTACCAACCAACAAACCAAGGAGAGTTATGTCTAATTAGCTTGATTATATATATTTACACATTTGTTTTAACACACAGGAGACTCTAACCCAAGACCTTTTAGTTAGGGAACCAAGCTTCCAACCAACAAACCAATGAGAGTTTCATCTAATTAGCTTGATTATATTTATTTACACATTTGTTTTCACAATCTAGGTAGAGAAGCTCCTTCATGGCAAAATATGTTGTATAAATTTAATAACATCATATGTGTATCATTTGGGGTTATCAATATTAATCTTAAGCAAGTTATGGATAACAAATGTCATACGCTTCTAGAGATGGAGAACTAAGCATTAGAACTATATTAATAGTGTATTATTTTAATAAACAAATTAAATTCATTGTATGTTACTAAAAACTTAACTGTTAAGCATGATGTAATTTAGTTTCCAAATATAAACAATAGGCATGCTAAAATAAATATAAGATTTCATTCTATGCTAAAACGAATGAATCTTCAAGTACGAATCCTTTTTAATAATTTATTGTAATACACTATCATACAGTAAAGCTAAACTTACAAGGCTAGGAATCAAAACAGAGCATACATGCAAATCAATCTAGAATGAATTAATTAAAAATTCACTATATAAATTATATGGGAATAGCAAACAAAAAGTTTATACATTCATTAAGAACTTCAGCATTTGAAGCAAAATATAGTTGCTATGGATGCGTGGGACTTAAGCTAATCTAAGTACCATAAAAAAGTGAGGCTTGATTACTCCAAAATTTAGTGTCATATCATGCCCTCCAAAATGTCTTAGATATAAGCCTATAAATCTTTCGAATCATGAACTTGTGTTTTTCGATTCTAACCAATATGCCTTCACCAAATACTTCAATTCTTTCTTCTTGGTACCCAAACGAGTTTTAGTCTATTATCATCACAATCACATCTATTCAAATTATGTTTTGGTAAAAAAGAACTAAAAAAGCTTTAGGGCCTAGCACATGTTATTGTGAACTAGTAAAAATCATGATTTTTAAATGGCACAAATATAATAATCATGCCTAAAATTATTATAGAAATTACATGAAATTTTAGGTAAGGCATGTATACAAGGTTTTATTATTTTGCTTAGTTATTTTTATGAAATGAAGTAGCATGCATTCTAGTCAACCACTAAGCTACAAATTGTGGCCGTGTTACTCAGTCGCCAGAGTTCCTCACTGAACTCATGTGCAATGCTCTTCCACCACCCGCGCCATTTGCGTCTTCGATTCCGCCCATTCTCCATCCCTTTCACCTTCCTTTGTGTAATTCACTTTCATCACCTAGTGCTTCCATTAATTCTTTGTCTTTATTGTAGTGTTATGTGGAGCCAAGAATCCATCTTGCACTTTATCTCTTATGATGCTTCTAGTCTTGATGCCTTATTTATAAAGGCACGTAAATATGCTCCGACATGTCTATGTGTAATGCCCTTTCTCATGGAGACTTATCATCCGTGATCCTGTGATGGCACCTACTCATTTACTTACTATTTTAGTTTATGCAAATCTTGTAGCAGTTGAGGATGATGCTTTCTTTGGCCATTCCTTGCTGCCTTTGGTCCCCATCGAGGGTCCATAAGTTCGTACAATTTCTCTTATTCAGGCCGCTCTATTCCTCCAGTGAAGCCTATGTTCCCATTCATTCTTTCGAAGATGTTGTTAGTGGAAGGGTTCTTGGCAATTGGATTTATGTCTAGATTTCCTTTATTCTTTTAGCATGGTTCATATTTATTGGCACAAGCCCCCCACTACCTTCCATTATAAATCCTCTCTCAGATTTTCTTTGGCTGGGTTTTATGATTTGATAATACAATTTTCTTTCAGTTCAGATAATTTTTTGTTTGGCACTCAAGCTTGGAGTTTATTTATAGATTATTTCTGATTTACATATAATTTGTGAGCTATGTATTAAACTTGTTGATCGCCATCATGTGTTTATTAATTAATCTTTGGAAGTAGATTATTCTAAATTTTTTCCTCGTCAATCATATTATGTGTAGTCTTTTAATGCGCATTTTGAAGTGGTCTCTATATTTTCATACTTCTAAGAAACCTCTTATCACACAAATATTGGCATTTTTCCGTCATCTTTGTATCCACTTCATCAATCAATCTACACTACACTCATTTGTGTTCAATTTTTGGCAAACCGATTGATTCTACTGGATCCTGCTATTGCTAGATTTTCCCAACTGATTGTTGATCGAGTTCTTCTTGAAATAAAATGTTTCAGCTCATGTGGCAAGGGAGATATTGATCGACACTTGTGGTTATTGGCAAGAATTAGAATTTGAGGGCCTACCCTCTATTATTAATTTTGCATAATCTTTGGTCTTTTTAATGGATGAATTGCTTAAAGGCTCATTCTGAATTGAAAAAATCATCCCCTATTGTTCTGGAATGTTCAATGAATCATGATATATATTCATAAGGTTTATGTATGATAAATACAAATGGTCAAATTAAATTAGCAAAATCTTTGGTCATTAATATAATAATTTCTTAAAGGCTTCTTGAATTGAGAAAATCATCCATTGGGGCCCCAATTTTTTAGGAAAGTTCAATGAATCATGATATAGATTCATATATTCATAAGATTTATGTGTGATAAATACAGTTTATCAAATTAATTCAGCTAACTTTCCAATACTAATTCAGTAAAACACGGGAAAGTTCTTCAAAATATAATTTTCTTAATTTATTTTCAGATTTAGAGTTTTCGAGTTGTCCTTATTCCTCTTCTATAACTTGTGGTACTAAGAAAATAAAATTTCATTTCTTTCACTTGAAGTGCCCTTGTCTTCCCGTTGCCTTCATAACTTACTTCTATTTGTCTCTTTTAATCATACTTTGTGAGGTTTCTGTTCTTTTTTGCTCGTTTTTGCCTTGGCTCGCTCTTCTTAGATTTTGTTCTTTTTTCGGCAGTTTCTTTTTCAATTTTTCTTTCTTTCTTCTTCAAAAGAAAATTCAATTTCTTGGAGACCTTTGCTAATTCCTTATATGAATTTTCTATATTTTCCTCATCACCAAACAATTGATCATTAGTTGCATTAGAGGTGCAGTCAAGTTCTTTCTTCTTCTGTGTGGTTTCTCTTTCTTATAATTTTTGTTCATGGACAATGAAAGAACCCAAAACTAAATCTATCTAATAAATTGTTAATTCCTTATTCCTTGGTGACCATAAAATCTATAACAACCCGCCAATCAGGCTTTGGAAGATTTCAACAACAACCCAACATTATAAGATGAGTTGATTAATTTAAAGAAAATCCAATCAATTTGAACTTGATCATAATAACCTTATCCATCAAAATAAAAGATCCAAGCATCTAAAAAATTTATGGCATCATTTTATCTACAGAAATATTGATTAAAATGTAACTATTACAACAATTTTTCTAAGGAGATATCATTTCTATTTAATTAAAACAACTTATAACTTTAACCACCCTGAAGCATGTATCTAGAAACTCACTTCTCTAGGATGCACAAATATTGACATTAAAATCTTGCTAGAAAAAAACTCAGTAGGTGAAAACTATTAGCTAATATATAAACAATAATACATAAGAAATGAATGTAATAAACAAAAATGACATGCAATGCAATATTATTTCATTCACTTATAACCGTTATATCAAAACTGTTTGAATTTACATGACATATCGGATATTGAATATGGTGATTAGTATGCAGTAGTGTTTATAAGAAATCATGTTCTTTCTTAATTTCCCGTCTCATTTTAAGAGTGAAGCTATCTAATATTTTCCGTTCCTAGTATTTTCAGCTGCTTAGCTCTTTTTTTATTCACCTTCAAAGACTTGGTTAGAAAGTATTAGAAATGATCTTTTTTATTAGATTTATTTGAGATTTTGACTAAAACAGGACACAATGAAGAAAAAGAATTCATGTAGCCGACCCCACATAGTGAGATAAAGGCTTGTCGTTGTTGTTTGTTATTTTTGGTAAAATATTATATGTGGTCATGTGTAGAGCTACTTCTTAGATTTCACTACAAGGTTTTTAAGCCTGATATGAGTCATTCCTGTATGATGTGGCTTTAATGGATAATATTGGACTTGCTTTTAGATTTTAGATTCCATTTTGACTTTTCCATCTTTGCATTACTTCTGTATGTTGTTGAAGCCAGTAATAATGTTTGGTAAATTGAGAGCATGTCGCACCACAAAAATCAATGAGATTAACATACAAATGTATCCTGCACATATTAAATGTATCCTGCACATAATGTTTAGTACTAATTCCCTTTGCTTTGCTTGCAGGTAGTCTTATCTCAAGCTGGATCAAATAGAGGAGGTTTTAAGATAGTTTTTTCAAGCCAGAAGGTAGATCTTCAACTGGATGGCACTTTCAACATAGTATCCTATGATACAGTCCCTAAAGTACAGAATGCCCTTTTGTCTTTCGCCTTTAAGGTGTGTTGAAGTTCTCCATCTCATCTTGCCCCCCTCCTCCCCCTATGCTTTTATTTTCTCAATAATTTTTCTTGTTTTTGAACTGTCCACCCTTTTCTGCCCTTCTCTATCTTATGTTATATTTGCAGCGTAATTATAAATATAGAGAGAAAAGTTCAAAATAATCCTCTTAACTATTCATATATGGCTAATTTAGTCCCAAAATATTACATTTTTGTAATTTAGTCAATAGAACGTAGAAAATTTATCCCAATTTTATCTGGGATAAATTTTTATATTGTCAAGGTACTAAATTAGAGAAATGTGATAATCTGAAGTTAAATTGGATACATATGAATAGTCAAGGGATTATATTGGACTTTTTCCCTTTATAGATATTTTAGAAGTATTTTTTGGTGAAGTAATTGGCCTGCTGTCCCTATTTTTTATCTCTTTTCACTTCTTGCTCTTATGATGGTTGCTTGGTGGCTGTTCGGTTTCTATTCTCTGGCTGTCCCGGTTTCCCTAGCCTTGACTGTTCGGTTTATGTGGCTGTTTCCTGGCTTTCCCGGTTCTTGGGCTTTGGCTATTTGGTACCTATTGTTGCCCCTTGGCTTTTCCGATTCCTGGCTGTTTAGGTGGGCTTCTACCGTGCCTTTAATGCTGCCTTTTTTTCCCCTTATTGGCTAGCTGTTGGCCTCCTTTTCCCCTGTTCTGGTTGGCTCATTTGGGCGGCTATTTTGGGTGTCTTTTGAGCTTCTTTCCTCTATTTAAATGTGATGTTTGTGGCAGTTTTAGGGAGGATGTTATGTGATGATTTTTGGATAAAAAACCTGAGGGTTTTCTCTAGCTTGCGAGCTACTTCTATCCCCTTCTCCTCTTATAATTCGTTTTGAACTTCTATCTATATCTTCTATCCGTGGTTTACACCCCATTGTATCTTTCTTCTCAAACTAAAAAAATTTTTAAGGTGTTGTTGTGTCTTGTTTAAGTTTGTTTTATCATGTTTTTTATTATTGTTGTGCTTATTTAAGTTATTTGAAAGGGAAGCGATTATTTGCATACCTAATAGGCTTTAGGTTTTTTTTTATTGCATCACACAAGCTCTAATATAGTACTTTTTGAACGATTCATTGATAAAACTTGGAATACTTAAATGTATAATTATCGAGAGTCGAGAGCCCCTTTTTTGCCCCTACAAGAGGCTCATCTCATCAGTGCTTTTGTCCTTCCTTGTGCAAGTCATCATAATTTGCTAACATATCTTTATAAGTATTTAAAATATACTTAGCAATATTATGAGCATGTATTGTCAATCTATATCAAACATGTATCTAAGACATAAGCATGACAACATGTGAAATAACATGTGATTATATCTTTATAGTGATAAATCTTTTTTCTAAAATAACTCATTTCATTCCATGCTATAAATTTTTTGGAGAATCTCCGGTGGTTGAATTATATTTTAATGGATTGTTAAAATGGCATTACTTACCTAATGCTATTGTGTTTGACCAAGACAAAAAAATTCACCAGTCACTTTTTAAAAGAATTCTGGGAAGGATGGGGACACAACTAAAATTTTTTGGACGAATTAATGAATATTGAGATACTTAATAAGAGTTTGAGTGCTCTATTATTATGTTTGAGTAAAGAGTACTTATTTGGTTGATATTTGATATTGCTTATTATTGCTTTTGCATGTAATAACTTTGTCAATAGGTCTATTGGTATGAGTTTATTTAAAATAGTTTCAACTTTCAACCTGTAAATCTAATAATCCTTTTGAGCTTCCAATTGAGTCTAGGTTTATTGAGTTTGTACAATTATTTGTACAACATATGCATTATTTGTAAGAAGATACTTGTCAGGTTTACTGTTGTTCTGAAAACGAAATATATACAATTCAAATAAGGTAATACGGTAATGATACATCTAAATTCTTTAGGATTTTGATATGAAATACTTGAGTCCGCAAGCAACCCTAAGGTAATACTTGAGTCTCAAGCAATCCTAGTCAAGATTAGGTCAAAAACAGAGAACAAACTGCTGTCCCAGCAGTTTGACAGCACCCTCGCAGCAGAATTTTGCACCAAACAGTGGAAATAAGAGAAACGAAGCAAGATCTTCACTAATAGATGCAAGAAAATAGAGAAAGATACAATGTTCTTCGATTCGAGAGGAAGAACCACTCTCCACAGATCTCTAGCAAACCCTAGAGCCCAAGCACAACCAGAGATCTTAAACTTTCATTCAAAATTCAAGATAACCCTAATTCCCTCCTATTCCACCTAATTATCATTAAATTACATGAAATTACATGCTAGAAAGGTGAGATCATATGAAATCATACAACACGGTGGGAAATTATTTATAAATTAGGAATTTCAAGAAGTTTATGAACCTGCCGCCAATGCCTTAGATTCACCTTCCATCTTCTCATTGCGAGTTTACATATAGAACTTTACTAAACAACACTACAACCCTCAAGTTATTCTAAATTGAGAGATTGTGTCACAGTGGAAGATGTATATTTAAGGTATCTTGTGTATTGAAGTGACATATTGACTTGCATTGAGTCATGGATTATTTTCTATGAAGCATAATAGTTAAATTCATATTTGACTGATGAATATCAACTGGTCAATTCTTCATAATCAAAATTTTCCAGGCCAAATGCCTCGGAAACACAAGATGTGAGTATTTAGGCAAGCTTATTATTATTTTGAGTTTTGGGGTTGCTTTAGTTGTTCTTAAGGTCATTTCAATTTAATGTAAACGGACCTATGTTAATGATTCCTAAGAGGATGTGATATGCCCTAGTTTTGGTTTATTGTGAATTCACTGTTACTAGTAATCTGGTTGGTTGTTGTATAGTTCTTTGTTTGATCTCATGTGCGAGTGCTAGTTTGTTGATGTTTTGTTTTTATTGATATTTTTTCTTGCTGATAATGATTTACAAGTAGTTTTTCTTGATGGGAATTCACTGAATCATTGTATTCATTTTGGACAAATGAAATCACATCTCTTCATTTTTAACATTGTAGCTCTTTCATATTCTACTGGAGTCTAGGCTTGTGGTTGATTGCATCGTGTTAGGGATTCAATAACTACTTTCCTATGATTTTGATGCTCTAACAAGGCGAAAAGTTGTTTTTCTCTGGTTGAAATATAAAACAGGCTATTATGCACTGCTGAGATAGGGACTTACAATATTTTGCAATTTTCTTGGTGTTTTATCATTATAATATGACTTTTAAGTCATGTAAAAATTTAATCTATTGTTTAATAAATTTTTTAGTTTTTTCATACTTTTTTTGTGCTTGTTGGATGTGAGTTCTTTGAGTGTAGTGCAAATATTGATGATCACGTTTGTAGGAAACTTTCTCCTTGTGCTAGCGTAAGGCTTGGAATTTCTATTTGGTGATCTCTATCATTGCTCTTTATTTCTATATGTTTTATGATTGGTTTTTTGTGTGTGATTGTCATCAAGTATATTCAGGGGCGGAACCAGTCTTAATTTTTAGGTGGGAAAACTTATAAGTAACTGTCGGGGGTGCAAGAGGGCAGCACCCCCCTGGCAGGGTTCGACCTGCGGGGGTTTTCGGGGCAGCGCCCCCGGAACAAATTTTGGGTGTAATGATATTTTTGGAATTCAAATTAATAAATAAAATGATGAATGTTCTTTACTATTTGTTGGGGGCAATTTCCTAAAGATCATAGTATTTTAAAAGTTTTTGGGGGGGTGGGGGTGGGGGGAGGGGGGCAATTGCCTAAAAACCCTTGTTGTGAAGACTAAAATACCTAAAGAACTATGTAATAAAGAATTTTTTTTTTTAAATAATTTTTTTAGGGGGGGAAATTGCCCCCCTTGACCCTAAGGGGGTTACTCCCCTGGGTATAAGCTATTACAGTATTGTTTTTGTTATTATGATATGAAACGTAATTGTTGTATGGCTTTGGTCAGTTTAAGATTTCTTAAAAATCCACTTGTTTTAACGATCTTTAAATTATGTTTTGGAATGAACTAGACTTATTTCTAATTTTCATCGAAGAGAACATTTATAAATTTGATGGATTGAGAATTTTGATCTTTTTGTATATTTCTGTGCACTTTATCCTAGATTTATTGTAGGGAAGCCCTAGGCCTCTAGATGTCCTGTCCCTTAGTTACTGTGCAACTGAAATTCTCGAAGGAGCAGCTTATACTGCTGCACTCTCTTTTTTTATGAAAATTTCTTTCCACAGTGAATTCAGCATGCTATGGATGTGTTATTGACTTAAAACTGAACTGGGCTTTTACTCTGTTCTAGACTTAAATCATATTTCTTTTGATCTTTGACCATCTTATTTAGATGAAATTTAAGTTAACCCAAGTGTATGTGAAACCTATGTCTACATTGGCATTATTTTGTAATCTAGCTTTTGATTGTGTTTTTATTGTCCCAGTTCAGCTCTATAGTGTATTGAATAGTTTTCTCTAATATGCTTATTTATCAATGTCATTACAGCAATTATGATAGGATGAATCAGTATTAATGCTTGAGACTTGGTCTGTGTGATCACAAACCATAACTGATATTGAATCATAAATTTTCTTATGATACTAGAAATAGAGATTATTCATCATCTCATATTTGTCTGTCTGGTTACTAGTAAGTTGTAGTAAAGCTTCCTATTTGACCGGTCCAATGGACCAGTCCAGCCGGTCCGACGGGACTGGCTTACGCCATTTGAGGCGGAACTCTTCCGCCTCCAGGAAAGAGCCGCACGTTTCCGCAAGCAAGGGAGCCGAATAGGAAGGATTTTGAAGGGAGTTTAGGAGGGAAATTGAATGTAAGGACTGTTTAGGCATTTCCTTTTGATTTGTATGCATTAAATAGTTTTTTTTTAGGGTTAGGGCATCTTGAATTTGACTGAAATTTGGGATCTCTTAGGTTTAGGTTTTTCGGCTCTAGCGGCGTCTAAAGATTTGGGAGAGATAGATCATCCTCTCAAATAGAGGATCAATTGTATCTTGTATTTTCTTCTGGTAGTTTGTGTTCTTGCAATAAAATCCTTGTTTTTCTCTAATTTTCCATTGTATTTGTGGAGATTTCTCGCTGTTTTTCTTTAGATTGATAGGAAATACTTGAGATCTACAAGTGTTTCCTATCACTTCCATATTTCTTGCTGCTTAGTGATTCTTAGATTGTGCTTATGTCATTTCTGTTTATATTCAGTGAAACTTATTTGGTAGTTGAATCTTCATTCTTAATTTTGATCTATCTTATGGTGTACTCCCTAACTTTAATTCATTTATTTCACTTAGATTGTAATTGCAGATGAATCACATTTTTTGAAGAATGCTCAAGCTAAGAGAACCAGTGCTTCACTTCCAATTCTGCAGGTATTGGCGGTTCTGTCAGCATAATTGTATTATTGCTTGTGAAACGTATTGTGCATTGATTTTTGATGATCTCATAATTTTGATGATGCTTTCCTTTCACCAAATTTTGTTTTGAAATCGCATTAGTTTTAATAATGGCCTTCTATGATTTTTTTTTTTGGTAATCACATCCAGGATTGTTACTTGAACAAATAAGACCATCTAAGAGCAGCCATGCTGTTTTTTGGTCTAAGAAGTAAAAGTTTGGATACGTTCACATCACAGCACAATGTTATATTTTATAAGTTATTAATGTACCTACATGACATAATGATGAAATCAAGAAATTCTGTACTTTTTATTTGAACAATAGTATATTTTATCTCCTATTTTATTTTATTTTCTATCCAATGATGGGAAAGCATCCAATGATCATGGTAGGTAGTGCATATGGCTTGGTAGACCTTTGGTTTGCTGGCTCGATTGGTCCCTGGCTGCTGGTGGTTCACGGATTGGCTGTTTGGGAGCATTCGGTTTTGAGGTTGTTCTCTAAGTTGCTTGAGCTGAAGTTTAGTATCTCTTAATTCTCAAAAGGTACCTCATTATGAAGTTTACTTTTGGAGTGGCTTTGTCCCTTCCCCTTCCCCTTTCTTCTTGTCTCTTGGTAAACCGTGGCTTGTATTAATTGGGGGCTGAATTCTATGCTTTGAATTCATTGGAAAGTTAATGAATTTTGTGCTTTACCTCTTGGGATCTCTCGGTTGGCTCTTTGTTCCGTGACCGCCCCTCGTTTTCTGTGGCTGAGGCTTTCGGTCCGTGCGGTTCCCTTCGTCTCCCGTGGCTGTCTCCTTGGTTCCTGGTTTGGGTGTTATCCGTGAGCTTTGGGGGAGATTTCTATGCCTAATATGCTTCGGTTCTAATGGAAATTAAGTCATGTGGCTCTTGGCATTCCTCTCTCTTGCCTATAAATATGAGAAAATGAAGTGAAGGAAGGGAGTTGATATTTGTGAGCATTTTGCTATTAACCTGCGGGTTTATTCAGAAATCCTGCGAGCTCTTTCCAACCTTCTTTTCTCATCCCCTCCGGAAATCCTGCGGGCTCTTTCCACCCTTTCTTCTTGGGCTTCTAACCTCTTTCGTCTCTCCGCAAGTGCCACTCCATCTGTATCCTTCTTCTCAAAGTAAAGCAACTTTAGGGTGTCGTATCAGAGTCGATTTGAAGCATCTATTGAAGAATTGGGCCAATCTTGCAGTGGTGGACCATCGGTTTGCTAGTTCTATGCACTTTACTTATTTAACCTACAAATTCGATGCATGTGAGGAACCCGCTCTGACGGTTGTCTGAGGATAACGTCTTTTTAAATTTCTTTATTTCTTTAAAATCTCCTAGCATCTTTTGTTGTGTTTGTCAAGTTTTGGGTCGTTTGCGTTTATTTAATAAAATTTGTTTTAAGTTCTACTCATTGTGTCAGATTTCTTTTTGTGTGTCTATTGTGTTCAAGAAATATAGGGTCCACTATCTTTCTTGTCTTAGTTGTCTACATCACATAATTAGTAAAAAAGTTGGTTACAACACGTCACAGAACAATGTTGTATTTTATATGTTATTAATGTAAATATATAGTGTCTTGTATTTTATACTAAATGAGTGATTGGGTGAAGTACAATGTCTTATAGGAGAGACTACTTAACCTATGAAGTCTTTAATATATAACATATAGTTAACTATGTAAGAAGCATTAAATGCAAAAAGATTATTAGGAGTGATTAATGGCGTGCTCTAAATAAGTTGTTATAATATTTCTATATCAAACTATAATATACATATTAGAATATATATATATATATATATATATGCATCTTTAGATAAATTCTACAAATTTAGACAGCAGATGTTCATTAACAAAAAAATCACAAAGCAGGAACTCAAAGTAATAACCAGGTGATTTAGAAGTTAGAATAATCAATTAATCATTTAACAATCATATTTTTTGATCTGATAATGTTGACTCTTGTAAAGAAGAATGCTCGTAGAAAAACACAATTAATAACGAAGTGGAATACAAACTTGCTATTGTATGTAGTGTAGGCCAAACATTGATGGCGAAAAAGAAGATGCTTGGGCACATCAATGGCTTGTAGAGAAGAATGCTTCTGCAACCTTGGATTGCTTGTAGATGGCGCCCGTCAAAGTCAAGCAGCTTATAGAAGGTTCGTGCAACTTTTGATTGCAGAGAAGAATGCTTGCATGATCTCTAGTTGCTTGTAGAGGGCACATCAACTTTGTGCTCGTGGAAGAAGGGGAGAAGCGGCTAGGTCACGTGGAGAGGGACATGAGATGGTATTTCATAGCATGCCTCTATGTAATATTGTTTATTTTTAGTCTACACTTGTGTGTCTCGCTTATGTCCTTCCCATATCCATAATGTCCGGCCTGTGCCCATCCCATGTTGATGCCCTATCTTATTGTGAATTTATGACAACACAATTTTTAAGGTTTCAGCCATGTGCCAGGGCATGATGGGGCCGTGTCTGTGTTCTTCTTTGACACAGACATAAATGGCATTTAGAAGTTCTCGTGCTTCATAGTTGTTGGTACATTGATTCGTAGTGTAGGGACATGGATTGTGGTTATTCAAAATAGTTTATGGAGGCTGGACCTTATGAAGTTCAACATGCCTTATCTAAAGTTGTGAAAAGGAGCATGCATATATGTTGTCATCTCAGGTTTTGGGATAAGGCTCTAATTCATTATTTTGAATGTTTGGAGACTTGTGTGGGTTTCAAAAACATGAAATTTGTTTTATAAAAAAAAATGCAAACAGTATAAGAATCAATTTTCTGTTCCTTTATATATTTTGTTTGCAGTTTATGGCTTATACAATCCATATGGATAATAACTCGCAAGCATGTCTACTATTTGTAGGCAAGGACAGACATCAAAATTTAATCATTATGTTTGCCTTATTATTGGAGAAAAATTTTCAATTTTTGTGATTGATGTTATTATTTTTTGTTTTTGTAGATCATATTTTTCAGTAAGCATTCTTGATCATGCATTTAATTTTGTCCTTTTGTGGGTATGATATGCTCGAATATGATATTCTAACATGTTTGGAGTAAAAAAATTATATTGTTCATTCAATTATATGCTACTTTTATGATCATCATTGTATTTGTATTTTATCTAGTTGAAATTGTGTTTAAAGTCATTAGCTGGTACTTTAGGTTCTTACATTTATACATCTTTTTTTGTTAAGCGAAATAAAAAAGTTTTTTCGTTCTTTATACTTCCATTCATGGTGTTAGGGTTGTACTGTTCTCTCTTGCAAGTCGTAATGCTTGCCATAGTTTTTAACTATAAAGAAGTTCGTATGTAAGATCTTAATTACTCTACAAAGCTAAGTGACATCCTACTCCACTGCTTTGTCATCTTCATCATTTGCTGAAGTCATCATTCTCACAAAATATAGAGATCATTTGTACGACCCAGCCCGGAGGCTCGAATTAACGAGGCAAGAACGAAAATTGGATATTATTATTCCATTTTAACATATTAACATAAAACCTCTCAAAGCAACTGAAGAGCCACCATAACAAAGCTATTCCATAAAATCTATTCATTTCACTTATCAAAGTTAATAACTACAACAATCATAATTTACCTCTTTTCATTGTTGCGCCGTCTTCTATAGATATACTATTCTCTTTCAGCCATTTCTAAATCTTTGGAGACTTATCTGAAAATATTTATTTAATGGAATGAGTTTACAAAGTAAACTCTGTGGGTAACTGCTATAACAATTAACATGTATAAATTACAATACATATAACCTTTGATATATTTTTATTCATTTAACATTTGATATACATTTTCTTTCTTTGGTTCATTTCATTCCATTCTTTCCTTTATACATATTATATCATATTCATTTATAACATTTATAATCCTTTAATATGTATTCCTTTTCCCATTTAATTCATACAAGAGCACCGTCTAAATGTACCAAAGGTACAACCATTTTCATTTCCTTCTCCTTTTTCATAACCTTTTCCTTTTCACGTGCACAGGTACATTGCTTCCCCAGCTAGTACCATACGGAGGTGAACTCCTGTAAATTTGCATGCATATCCTTTTCCCTTTTTGTCATTTATTCTTAATGGCGAAAGAAACTCTCCCCAATCCCTTTCGCGCCAGTTTGGCTGTTCCAGCCATGTCCGCCTCGTGTCTGTTCTCCCGCTAGTGTTCACAGTAATAAAAGGGTGGCCGGTCGGTTCAATTGAACCGGTCGGATGAACCGGTTATTACATCATCGATGCCAGTTGATCTATCTATATGTTTGTTACATCTTGGGCTTATAGCCTTGTTCTCATGTCCTCCTCTAGTCTCATCCTTGATCGCATCGATGTTGAGGAGCTTGGTACCGCCCCTGCATCCCCAACCCCCACTGCTCCCTTTCTTGCACTTTAAACTGCCCTTGCTCTCACCACAGCTTCTTATCTTGCTTAATCAACGAATAAATATATTTGTGTGGTGCGGAGCTTGGTCTTTCCTGTATCACCACCTCACTATTTGCTTCCTTGAGACTAAGTTTAAGTACTCTTGCAATGGAGTTCCTTGCTATCTCAAATCACGGATTTTTAGATAAGAAGTCTTGAATATTTGACATTCCAATGGGTTCTTTAGTCACCTCGCATGCTTTCCTGTCTTGCCTGGTTAACCCTTAGGCATGGCATTGCCAATTTGCGTATTGCCTTGCATGTACATTAAGCGTGTTTTTTAAGCTTACTTTGCCTTGCTTTCTGCAAGTTGCTCAGTACCTTGGCTGCTTATGGGTCATTGCAAGAGATCTATTTTATTGCCTTCATGCAAACCATTATAACAGATTCTAAGCATACACAGACTTATTCAAAATACAGTATTTCACCTCTATTGACTTGTGGGTCTCCTACTATTGCCACTGAGAAATTGATTGACCTAGATTATTTATCTCAGGCTACTTTGGTTGACTTGTGGGTTTCAGGGTAAGGTTATGAGGATCATAACTTTGGGGATTGATGGAGAATTTTTTTATCCTCAACAGATTTGAAAATACTATTTTGTGATTGAGTACGACTTAGAAAAACAATACATTATCTATGAAGATAAAAATATTATTTTAGTTTGAATTCAATAAAAAATTACATTTTAATTTTTATGCCCAAAGATTTCCCCCTTCCCAATATATTTAATTGAATAGAATTTATTTTATTATGGGTTTCAAGTTTTTTTGTAAGGCAATCCCCCATGATTAATTACATCACAAGTAACTTTTTAGAAAACATTTGATTAAAATAATAATTTACATTCTCTCAATCAAAACTTCCATACATTTTTGAAATTTCATTTTCTTTCTGAAACATTTGAACTCAAGAGTTTTAAAGGATGATGTAATGAATTTAGAATTGATTTCATAAGGAAACCACAAGAGGAGAAAGGTTAGAGTATTTGATTCTTAAAAACTCAGATGTATTGAATATTATCTATGTTGGGCTTTATATTTTGAGATTGAATTTATATTAAAGTTGATTGATTTTATTTAGAAGGTTGGGTTTATATTCCAAGAATACTATTAAAAAAACGCCTTAATGAATGCAGCAATTGAAAAGAACATACATCTCATATCTTAAATTTAAGGTAAGAACCACTTATAGATAATAGCTTAGACCTAAATCTATCAAAATGCATGGACTTTATAAACTTAAAACCTCACTTGCAGTTAAATCAGTCTAAGATTTGATCTTATAATCTTGCCCAAAAAGAATGACCACCCACATAAATTCTTTTAAAACCATACAATTTTTAATTTGTTCGCCCCTCTAAGCATGGTCATCTGCATGTAAGAACAAAAATATCTATCATAACACTTAGTGCTTACAACACCAACAATCATTCCTACTTAAAATTACAACCACATGCACAAAGAAATCCTAATCCCTAGATGCTTAAAGGGCTTTGCATGCGTTGTGTGTTAGTTTTATATGATTACCACATTATTATTTAATGTATTGTTTATTACTTTCTCGTACAAAAAATTTTTATTCTAAAAATTTTTATACTAAAAATTGCTTTAGAAAGCAGTAAGATAGTCGTTCCAAATATAGACTTAATTTATTTCAAGAGTGATTTTACTTTAAGTTATTTGTGACTTAAAGATTTTGTTTGAATTTTAGAAGAATTTTATATTTTTAAATAAATATGAAAAATCTATGTAGGGGATGTTCGGTTGGCTGTAAATGAAATGCAGTGTAAAAAAAAAAAATTTGTTCTGGTGCTTTATCGCAGTTCAACAATTAAATTTTCTTCCCTGTCCAAAATAACAGTACTTGTAATACGTTTTATTAGCTTTAAATCTTGAAACTTCAGGCATTGTCAAAGTAACATCGGATGGCATCAAATGTCTTTAAAAAATAACAACGAATACATCAAATATTCTAAAACACCGTCCGATAGTCTGTCCCCGTCTCATTAATTTGAGTTTATGGGCTAGGTCATGACACTAAAATAAGTGCTTCTATGTTAAATTAAATATTGAAAGAGGAATGCCGTTTTCTTTAAACTTGACTAATTCCAATGTTTAAAATTGCGTATTCGGGTATTGAGGCGTTTTTCATTCGTGAGGCGAGGCGTAAGCCTCAAGGCGTTTTGAGGCGTAAGCCTCAAAATCAAAAAATTGCGTAAACATAAAATGATCAAATTTTTTATATACTAATGAGTGAATAATATAAAACATAAAAAAGCATAAGATATGAAATGAAATCAAAATATCTCAATAATAAGACAACATGAAATATAGTTCAACTCAAAATTCTATCTTTCCCAAATCCCAGTATTCTTTTCATTAACATCTAATTCCAAATTTCAAAAATAAATAGCAATGACATATCACATAAGAACTCATAAGTCATCAGCACTGTCATCACTAAGGGGTTCTTCATTTGAATCATCATTATGGTGAACTGCTCTCTCCCCTTCCTCCTCTCCTATAGAGTCGAATGTCGGGCATTTACTTCAAGATTTATGTAAGTTTTAATATATATAGCGTGAGGCGAGGCGGGCCTCAACCAAGTTGAGGCGCAAGCCTCATAAAAAAAGCTCAAGGTGTAAGCATCGAGGCGTTTTTTACTGGAATTGCGCAAAGGCGGGCCTCAAGGCGAGCCTCATATTGCGCAATTTTAAACTCAGACTAATTCATTTATGTTAGTATTTAAATGATTCAACTATGACAACGTTTCTGATTGTAAAGCTAAATCACTTGAATATATTGACTGCAGAAAGCTCAATATGCAATGTTACTAAGTGGAACTCCTGCTTCATCACGACCTATTGAGTTATTTAAACAGGTATAGTTCCTATTATTCTCTGTCAGCTAGTGCACGCAAAACACCATCTCTTTCAATGTCGTGCAAACTTGTGTGTTTGAAAATTTTTCCTGCTTGTTTGAAATACAGCTAGAAGCCTTGCACCCTGAAGTGTATAGAAGTGTGCACGAGTATGGCAATCGATATTGCAAGGGTGTAAGTGTTCCATTTTCCGTTGTGCTCAACTAACTTTATAGAAATCTTTGGGATACAAGTTTCCCCTGATGCACATTTATTTTTCAGGGTTTTTTTGGATTATACCAAGGGGCCAGCAACCATGATGAGCTGCATAGTTTGATGAAAGGAACTGTGATGATTCGTAGGCTAAAGATTGATGTTCTTTCAGAGCTCCCTGTGAAGCGCCGACAGCAGGTTATTGTCCACTTTCTAGCATAATTCATGGCTAAAAATATGTTCATGAGATGTCTAAAGATCGTAATAAGAAACAGCCACTACTCGTCTAAACCCGCTGCATCTCTGCCCCTTTTTTATGCTTTTATTTGCGACTTTAGCAATAATAGACATTTACATGAAAGCTATAAATTGTGAATGAAATATTTTCATTTTTGTATTCATGGTCCTGAGGTTTGAACTCGTCAAAAATTAATGCAATATTAATTTATTCCCATGTAGCCTATAGGTATTGGAAGTGGTATATTGAAATATTGTTGTAGGATTGAGAAATATTATTCCGACATGCTTAGATTTTTTTTACTTGGGTTATTTTAATAGTGATGTCTACTTTGGAATTTCTTATCAAGTGTGGATTGGGAACATTAATATGGTGCGGAATTATTTCAAGGATGATGTGTATATAGGTTTAGTATAGAAGTATTAATTGAAAACATATTGCTTCTTTAATATTTGAGATTCTTTATTCTCTTATATCAATGAAATATACATTTAATTTATCTTCAATGTTAGTCTTCGTCTTAGGTTGAGAAAATCTAATTAAGCCTCAAGGCATATGATATATCACAGCTATGTCTTACGATTGTGCCTAAGCTGATTTTATTAGCTGTGTTAGGCTGAGTTGCCCTTGATTGTACCAGGAATAACATGAAAAGTCACAAATGAAATTTGTTGAAATAAGAGTTTAAACATTTATGAGTACTATTTAGGGTAAAAACTATGTTTCTAAAGTGAACTAGATTAATAATGGCATAGATCTATTGCCAATAGAATATGGTTTTGCAAGGCTACAGTTATTATTTAATTCACAATGTCATCAATTAGTCTTCGTTTTCTTCCTTTTAACATAACCTAGAGGGTAAATTATTTCAATTTAAACTTTAGGAATATAAAGTTAGACTGGTGAGGAAATTTAGAGTTATTATTAATTGTTACTAATTAATGTTGACGTACTTTTTCGCTCGATCGATTCGATCGAAATCTCTGTTAAATAATTGTAAATTTTATGATTGAGTCCATAAGGAGATGATATTTTTTACCCTCCGGGGTAATATATCGTATTCTTATGCCGTGCCCGATTATAAAATATGCAATCCGTTTGAGGATACAAAAATTCTCCAACAATTAACTCTCTTTTCAATGCTAAATATTTCTTTCAAACCCGTCAACTTATTCATTGTAATTTTTTGTTCATTTTTCTCCTATGCTCAATAGGCATTGCACTTCAAAATTTTATATATGAGCAGTTGTTACTGTAACTGATATTCAGGTATTCCTGGACTTGAATGAAAAAGAATTGAAAAAGATCAGGGCCTTGTTTCATGAGGTAATACATTCTATAGCTTTTTAGTTGTGTAAATATTGAGGTATCTTTCTAGTAGTCTTCCATGAATAGATTGCAAACTTTTTTGTTACATTTTACAGTCTGTCAATTTTAGTAAAAATAGTTATGATAAGCTTCACCCACATTTTCCGAAATGCACTTGAAATCAGATACCTATGATATAATGTTCACATGGACTGGTAAGATAATGCTTCAGGAGATAAGTTCTTATGTGTTTTGTTTTATTTGTTTATTTTTTTTTATAAACATGCATTCAAACTACATGCAATAGTGTTTTCTGTAAGGACAATTGACCTAGGATTGAATTTTACACTTTTAAGTAATAGCATGGCAGGAACGATAGTCATCACAGTAGCATGGTCTATGAGGTCATCATTGCGGTAATATGACATGGAATTATAATCATAATAATGGCATGAGATATTGAATCATAAGCATTACTATAGATTAAATCAAATTTCATGAGGATAACAATAACATGATATTTGATCATAGCTATTTATGTTAAACTGCAAAACAATCATGTAATTTCTGAAATTCCAAAATCATGTAGCATTACATATCTGATTCATATCAATATGAAGGATATTAAAGAATGAATATTTCATACAAAACATTCTATCAAAAGAACCTATATTGATAAATATAATTCATGTGCAGTAAGTATAGAAGAAAGAATGATTCTCTTAAAGAGAATTACAATTACTCACTTTACAAAAGTTTTAATCTCTTTGTAGGACCCAAAAGGCATCCACAAGGATGGATGCTTGAAGGCCCCGCTGACCCGAAGTGATTTAGACAAATTCTTCTTTCTCGATGCCTCTCTAGACCATACAAATGCATGGCGGGCCGCTTAGGGGAAAGCTCGAATTCGCTTCGCGAACCTTCATTCGTTGCTAAGCCAAGGTCCCAGGTCTCTGAGTCAGCCCGGGCTTTTTCGAAGAATCCTGCACCCATGGGCATACGGCCTGGCAGGCCTTCCCTTTCCGCCGGAGCTTCATGGGGGGCACACGTGAAGTCATGATACCTCTTTAGGACTTTCATTAACTTATCCTTGATAGTTCCTACAACCAAGCATTAAGTAACACATAAAGCTCCAAACATAATACTAAATCATTTAATCCTTCACTTTACCCTTTTTATATTTACACCTTAACTATTAGGTTGGCCCTTATAATATCTTATCAAGTTGAGCATAATCGAACTAGTTTTTTTCTATGTTTGGCTTGTTTAATAAATGAGCTAAATTTTTTTCTTAAATTTTTACTTGGTTGCTTAAAAACTAGTCAAACACCAACTCCTCATGAATATTGAGTTTATGCGCATTATTATTTTACATGTCATTTTCGCAATTTCAATATACTATTCGCGTCATTGCCTGTTGTAGGGAACATCAAACTTCTCAAATACTACTTGTTAACTGGGCATGTGGATTGACTATTTTATTTCCATAAAGAAAACAAAGGGCAAATGGATATTATAGGCACTTCATTCTAAGCTGAGTTTACATTATGACGGTCATCCAATGTAGATTCTTTTAGAAGATGCGCTCAGAATTTTTATGTTTTTGTTAATGTTGCATGGAGTTCTGACCTCATTCCTAGTTCTATCTTATGATGTTTAGCTTGGCCTCTGTCTAAAATGAATGTTTTTATTTGTTTTATCTCTATTTATGTCAAATGATGTAGATTTTAGGGAAAACATGCATTTCATGAAACCTCAATATGTTGAAGACATTTTAACTTTCAAGATAGCCTTGCTTCTCTTTTTCTTTCTTTTATTTATTTTTTTCATTTGGTTAAAAAGGTTTTGGTAAGTTGGACAAAATAAGAAGCTTGCATATTTATTGAATAGTTAAGGCGTTGCAAATTATTATGTGTTTAATTGCCGCATGTTAATGGTTTTCTTTTAATAGTGCTGTTTTTCTTGGTTAGGAATAGATTAATTTGATTCTATTATCTTTTTGACACGTAGTTGGAGTTGGTGAAGAGCAAAATCCAGATATGTAACTCTGAAGAAAATTTAGAGGCACTAAAATTTACTCAAAAGAATCTTATCAACAAGGTATCATAATGGTGAAAATAGCATTTTGATATTTCCTTCACTAATTGCTTACATGGAGTACTTTGTTGCTCTTAAACTATCCGGTTGAAGTTAGTTTTTCCTAATTGCGGAGTTTTTGTAATAACTTGTAATTTTCATTGCTATTCATATTTCAGCTTTTGTTAGAGCTATCTCGCCACCCATTATAATGTCTTATTAGCAATGTATCATATTATGATTGGAGGCAATAAAATTCAGCTTTTGCACAACCACGGAGATTAGGGATTCACTAGTTTTTTTTTTCTTTTTGAAATGAAACTTTATAATGAATATAACATGAAGCAATCAAAATGAATTACTAGATGAAAACACGAAAAAAAGACCCAATTAAAGATAACATGATGACATAAGAGAAAATCTCTCTTAGACAATTAATAAACGATTCTAAAAACCTCTTATTTGTAGTGTCTTGTGGCCTAGTAAATCTCGGTAAGTGATGATAAACTTTGTTTTCTCCTGCCCTTTACACTTAGAGCTTCTAAACTTTGAAGACTAAAAATGAGAATCATATATTTGCTTAGAGTCTAGGGTAATGACATCTGCAATAGCATGAAGAGGTTGAGGTTGAGGGGCTAACTAATTTGAAATATCTGAGTCAATGTTCTTGGATGCTGATGAGATATTGATTACATTCATGGGGCCTAAGGCCACAGGTGAAGGCTCTGATTCCATATTAAGATCAATAGTTGGTTTCAAGTTTTGTGTGCAAGCCTAAACTTTAGTAAGTGGAATTGGATCCTCCATATACGAAAGACCAAATTTGATCATTTGTATGCTTTGTTTTTTTTTTGAAGAAAGCAAAAAGCTTAATAAAAGAAACTAAAACTGAATTACAACTTACTAATATCCGACTCCTCTAACAATTTGATAAAGGAAGGAGGGATATTGCTCCAAGTTTCATCATCCCAAAGAAAAAGAATTAAAACGAGCATAGTTAGCACAAATATCTGCTTACTTATTTCTCTCCCTATCAACACAATTAAAGATAACAAAATAAAAATCTTTTATAAAAGAAAGATCTGAAGAACTTTTATTCCATGCCTCCACCTCTTCCTTGATGAGTTTGATTACGTTCTTGTTATCACCTTCAATAATCAAACCTTTGTATTCCAACATCCATTCTTTGATCATATGCTTTAAAGAAATGATGGCCTGGAGTTCTAATGCAGCTGAATCCCAATGAATGAGTGAATTGCCGAAAGCCAATAGTAACCTTCCATGATGATCTCTAAATACTCCTCCTATGCCAGCCTTATAGGAATTATGTAGAGCAGCATCTATGTTGACTTTGTATGCTTTGTTTGTTCCTAAATATAAGGAATCCATGGCAGGTGATTTGCTCAATCTCGGGTTAGCCTTGAAACATTCAATGAAGTTACGATAAAAAATTTTACAAGATAAACTATAGGAAAGAACACTTTTAAATTTAACAATTAACCAATACTCTACAGGAAAATTTGTGATTTCCATCTGAAAAATCAGTTGAAAATCTATGAATTTCTGCCGATATTTTTAATTTCTAGCGGAAATCAATCCGACAGTAATAACTACGTAGGAAAACAATCTCCGACGATACCAAATCTTATGAAATAGACTATGAACAAATATTTTCTCTAGTTGCATAATGAATATGATTTGTATCCTAATCTCTTTGGCTACTAAGTTTGGATGTTCAATGTAATAATATGATGTACAAAAATATTTTTACATGGTAATGTGGAAGAAGTTTTATGCATCCCCACCATGATTCAACGACTCTTTTTTCAAAAAATTCAATATGCAAACTAAAAAAAGGCATTACACAGAAAGCAATCTCCAAGAGCGTGATTTGAAAGATTCATAAGAGCTATATGTGAATTGAGATATACACAAAGCCAAGGAAATCATACACTCTTTATAGCACACTTGATTGAGTAGAGTGGTAATTCTAATCATGTTTATTGATGATATGATTGTAATAGATGATGATGATGAAAAAGGATCACACTGGAAAAAAAAATACTGTATAAGTTGAGGTCAAAGAACTTAATAAGCTCAAATACTTCCATGATGTAGAAGTGGCTCACTGAAAAAGGTAGGTTTGTCTTATCAAAAGTTTGTCATTGGCCTATTAAGATAAACAAATATGACAAATTAAAAATTGTGTAAAACTCTAATAGAATCAGGCCATAAACCAGATATTGATAAAGGGAGAATCCAAGTCAACAAAGGACGATATTAAAGATTAGTTGAACAACTAATCTAACTATCCCACAATTGTCTAAATAGTGCATTTGCGGTAAGCCTTATAAGTCAGTTTATACATAAAACAGTGGAATCTTACTTTATGCTACTTATACAATACTTGGGTATTTTTTAATCTAATCATGGAAAAACAATTCTTTATAAAAGACATGAAACTTTAAAACTAGAAAGCTATGCTTACTAAGCATTTGGGATCGCCGGTGGATATTGCTCATTACTCAAAAGGAAATCTTATGAATAAATAAAAAACAACTCTGGTCGCAGGTTTTAATGCATAATCAAAGTTAAGAGCAATTAATTAAGGAATATTTCAACTTTTGTTGTTAAAATTTTTACTAAATCTAATGATTAAATAGAAAAGACTTATAGGGATATATTAACTCCTAATACCCGTTAAATGTGTTGGAGAATGCAAGAAAGTGCACAGGCTCCAAATGGAACCCGGACAACTACAGTGCTTGCAGGAAGGAAAGCACAACTGCACAACTACGGCAGTAATTACAGGAGGATGACTGTAGATTGAATATGAAAGGTTTGACCGATTAGGAATGTAGACGTCCACGGATACATGGTTATGTGTAATAGATTGCAAGACTGACCAAATAGAAATGTAGAAGTCCACAAATCCACATAACTAGAGTGCAGCAAAATAGCAAGAAAGAACATTGGAAGCAGATGAATTCAAGGGATTACTTAGCAAACTTTTTTCGGTGATTAATATTCTTTCTTAACGTTTATATGCAGCTCTATATATAAATAACTTTTAATCATATGATAAAGCAAGCAAGCCTTTAACTTTTTAAAATGATCTAAGTTCACATTTGAATTTTAGAAGAAGAATAGGTTTCCCACTTCAAAATCATTTTTCCAACAGTGCAAAAACCGGAGCACAATGAAATCAAAGAGCTAAATCACTACTGTAGTGCTCACCTAGTGGTGCTTAAAAAAATTATGAATTTCAATTCCAGACCTCTAGTTTAGTGACTTGTCGTAATTAATAGACTGACAGAGCCAAATAAGGAAGTCATACAGTGGCACTTGGCACAAAAGAGTAGTGGCAAAGCTACTATGGCCAGACTAAGGAACTAAGAACTCTTGGTGGACCTGGATGAATTTCTTAATTGGCTTCATACTGCAGAGAGAATTCTTGAATACAATTAAGTACCACTTGATCGCATCGTAAAATTGGTAGCAATCAAATTAAAATGCAACGCATCTTTGTGATGGGAGAACTTGAAGCTCACTAAACATCGGAAGGGGAAAACCAACATATCTGTTCTTGGGACAAGATGAAGAAGGAAATGTCACACAAATTTTTGTCGCTCAGTACTAGTAGAATATGTTCCTTTGCCTACACTGTCTTCAACAACAAGAACTCTTGGTGGAGAGTTATACAACTGAATTTGAACAATTAATGCTTAAAAGCAACTTGGTGGAAAGCGAGCAAAATACTATAACACGGTTTATTTAAGGTTTAAACCCCTCCATTGCCAATGTTGTGCAACTTCAACCATATTGGACTATCACCAACGTCTTCAAGCTCTCTCTCAAGGTAGAAAAAACAACAAAGAATAGGAAAAATCCAAAAATTAAATTGGTTCAGGACACAAGCTAAATCAATTGGCTGAACCAACTAGTCAAGGAGCACTGACATCATTATAGGTGCCTAGCAGGTTCTAGCTAAATAAAGAATTCAGCTAGAATAGTCATATTGCCCATTAAAGACACTCATTACCAAGGAGCGTGACTCATTATAATCTATCAAATCAAGGAGTCGTCCTAAGCACGCACACCAGGGAACTTGTATAGGTTCGTACAATGGTAACAGAGACATTCAGCTTGACAAAAATTGGCCTACCAAGATTATTCGTCGTCATCCAAGCTATCATACAACCATTGACGTCCTTTTATCTAGCCATAGGAATTGCACACTGGGGTTTAAGACTACAACCCTCCAAACATGGCTGAACCTCAGCTTGTAGTCATCACGTCTCAAAGGGACTTATCCCTATGGTCCATACACTGCCCATAAGGATTCAGCCACATCTAGAGGGCTCGCCCCACACAAACTCATCCCATATGCCATGTCACATGGACTCGCCTAGAACACTCGCTCATGAAGACTCTCCCAAGGGACTCATTATGGAATAGTGGGCCACGTTAGAGGCATGTTTTCATGTGGAAGCTTATAAGCCGAGCCATGTGTTAGATATAGTCTGTAATGAGTCACATTAAGTATTATACTTTTTATCTTCTTACTTTCTTTTAGTGTACTCTAAATAAAGGGTGAAGAGGTACATTTTGAATTTTTTGAATATTGGCTGATCCTTTGGTATACTTTAACCATGCTTTGCACTCCCATCTCTCTCTCTCTCTCTCTCTCTCTCTCTCTCTCTCTCTCTCTCTCTCTCTCTCCCCCGATAGTCATCAGGACCTTTCTTAGTCATATTTGTCAACGGCGAATGACGCAGCATGGCGCAAAATTTCTAGTGGAGCCATGGCGCATATAAGACGACGCGACCCACACCATTTTGAATACGATGCAAAATAAAAAAATAATTATTAAAATCTTTATATGGATCCTATTTTAGAGTATCAATCAAGTTGGGTAAAGCATGGTTGAATATGTTTGTGGTCCAAAGTCCAAACTATTAACACGAGCTTCAAGTTCGTCCAAAATTTCTACTAAAATAAAGTTTAAATAAAGTCTAATAAAACCTACCTAGACTATTTAATCATATCAAATAATTTTAAAATTAATTATTACATTATTTTAGAAGTTAAAATATATAAATATTAAAAATTATTTATAATTATATTAAAAAATTCCTAAAATTCAAATTGTGCGCGCTGTGCGCCATTGCATGCACCGTGGCGCAAATGACACGTGCCAACTTGAACATGTGCGTCGCGCCATGCAACTGGTGCTGTAGGTGTGCCACGCCATGCGCCATAGTGCGCGCCATTTTATTCCTTTGATAAGTATGCTCAGTTTTCTAATTCTTACCTAGGAGATTGCTCGCTAGTATAGTCGGGTATTCTTGTCTAGGAGATTGCTCGCTAGTATTAAATATTTTTATGAAAAAATTTGGATCCAATATGTAAGAAATCGAAGCTAATAAGGTAATAAAAAAAGTAGGGAAAATATCCTATTTTTATAGGGACAAAACTAGCCCATGACTTGCATATTCATGAGTATAGTTTACATATTTGGATCGATCAGCCATCAAAATGGAGAGACGTGTCATTAATATGGATTATTTGAGATTATTCCCTCGTTTCATCAGTGTGATTGCTTCATTGTTTTCCACATTACAAAATACCCGGTTGTGAGTATTACTATAATCAAGTTTCCATGATGAATGGACACGTTTGCTTTTTCATTGTTATTTTATATTTGGACTTGTTTAAGTAGTAAGTTAATCCTCCTTACCCTTTTGTAATATGTTTCAGATATATAATGATTCAGCTGAAGCTAAAATACCCGCAGTTCTTGATTACTTGGGTACTGTCATTGAGGTATGAAATGCTTCCAATTCTATGTATAGTTTGGATTGCTGTCATGCTGAAAGTATGAGAGATTTAGTCACATTTTGATTTATACCTTTCATTGCTTTACTGTTTCAATCAAATTCTTTTTTTTTTTTTTTTTTTGTAATGTGGAATATCTGCCTAAGAACAGGAATGAAATCACTGGTGCACTAATATAATTATTATCATCATTGATGGATTTCCTTTTTGCACCTTTTTGTTGTTTTATCTATGACCTATTAGGTGTTCATACCTAAGTTTTTCCCCCTCATTTCAGACAGATTGCAAATTCCTAGTATTTGCACACCATCTACCAATGATTGAAGCGTTGCATAATTTTTTTTTGGTAAGATTTCTTGACTTTTGTCTACTTAGTATAAAAAATTGTTCATTCCATTACTTAAACTAAGTTTGTGCAGAAGAAGAAGGTTGGTTGCATTAGAATTGATGGCAGTACTCCAGCAACATCAAGACAAGCTTTAGTTACTCAATTTCAGGATAAATCTGAAATTAAAGCAGCAGTCGTAAGAAAACCTCTTATACTATTTTGCTGCTTATGTATCTTGACAGGGTAATGGTTTTTTTATTTACCATTGTCATATAAGCTGGGATAAATAGCAATATCGGTTCTATATCTTTTAGCCATATTATCTGGGTACTTATATAAGATTTTTCAGCTTTCTATTCGAGCCGGAGGCGTTGGGCTAACTCTGACAGCAGCAAGCACCGTCATCTTTGCTGAGCTTTCTTGGACCCCAGGTGATTTGATTCAAGCAGAAGATCGTGTTCATCGCATTGGTCAGGTAAGTACATGGCACCTTTTTATTGATAGTTTCTTCAGCTTTCCCTTTGTTTACCATTTAAAAAAAAAAAGAAGAAATATATTCGTTCACCCATGTGACCTCTATTCTCCCATGCCTTGCTCTGACTTTGCCTAAGCATGTTGTGTTCGCTCAGCTTGCTCCATCAGCCACAACACCGTTGATGCCCTTATTGCATTGCTTTCGTCCACATCAATCATAATCGTGCAATCTCCTCATCGACCATGTGTCTCCAACCTACTCAACAATATCTCACTTATTCTAAGGACTCCACAGCGGCCTTTGTATCATTTCCCTAAGCAAAACAATTAATGACGGAGAAAGATATATTTATAAGTTAACTAAGCAAAGAGATAAGAGAAGTAAATTTTTAGTTTAAGTGTAGTGCATTAGGGATGAAGATCAAAAATTATTTTTCTTAGAAGAGAATATTCAACATAGTGAAGAAATATTTGAATAAACTTTTTAATGTTTTGAGAATACAATTGACTTTATTGACCTTGACACCCTAAATGAAAATAGATATTTTTATTTCTATCGTCATAATAGGAAAACCGAAGTTTAAGAGATTTTAAAGAAAATAAAGTGTGGCAAAAAATAGATCTAATGATATTTCAATAGAAGTATAGTAATAGTTAGGAGCTCAAGGAATTTATTTGCTTACTAAGTTTTTTATTATTATTTTGAAGATTAAAAAGATACTAGATGAGTGGAGAGTGTTCGTTCTGATTTTCAAGAATACAAGTAATGCACAATAATTTGTGAATTATAAATGAATTAAGTTAATGTGTCATACATTCTACTCGACGTCAAATTTCTGCCCTTTGTCGGACTTCTGTCCGTCGTCAGCCTCCTACCCGATGCCGTATTTCTACCTGACACAGGATTTTCTGCTCTTCAACAATCTTTTCAACATCCCTCCTTACAACGGTCTCTCCGGACTTCCTTGCAAAGAGAGGGCCCTTGGAGGACCAAGGGAAAGCCTCAATTGTAAGAATAGAGGAAGAAGGGAGTTGACACCAGACCAGAGGGGGCTCGACGAATCCACGTCGATGATCCGGTGGCCGTGGCCGGATAACTCCAAGAACTTCTCGGATGAGAGGGATCACCACCTAAAATCCTTCAGGATACAGAAACCCAAAAAGAGTAAAATTACTCAAATATTTTTCATATCTCAAAAGCTAATCTCTATTACAAGTAAAGGCTCCTATTTATAGATAAATGTAACCCATAATAGGCTACACTCAAAACAAGATAGCGCGAATTCTATGTATCCATATACGCTACTAAATGAAATAAAACTAGCCTGAAGTTATCATGAATAAGCGGCTCAGCTCCGGCGTCATACTACCGGGGTAGGATAAACTTCAGGCTCATACGAAGAATTCTGGTTGGCCACAGGAAGGCGGTTTGGGTTGGCTAAACCGGTCTGGATATTTCCATCCGGTGTCATTCACCTCGCCTAGGAGAGACTTCAAACTGGTTAGTTCAGAAAGTATTTCTTGGATTGCATGTAGATATCGCAAGTCTAATAGCACTCGAGAAGATCCACTGCTTGGAAATTTCTGCACGTTCTTAAACAAGTAATTTCCATGAGTAAATTTATGCATTTTATCAATAACTTTTGAACGGCCAACACTACCACTGCTTGACATAACTTGTGTTATGTCAGAGTAGCTCTCATCTATGTTCAGGTCATTAACTTTCGGCAAGTTCAAAACAAACGGATGAGTAGAGCCAAGTCTCAGGGGGAGGAGCTCGTTATCAAAGCTAAGGGAACCTTGTTCTGAGCTCCCTACTAGATCAGATGCTTGAAAAATACTTGAAGTTAGAGTTGAAGAAAACTGATTCCTAGAAAACTCATCATATATCTCTTTGCAATTGAGATGGAAATGTGAATGGTCATAACAGCTTCTAACAGGGGCTGTAAATGCTTCAGGAAATGAAGCAGAATCACGGTATTCTTGAATTTAACAAGCTAGAAAGGCAGTCTTCCCCCACAAGAAGTTAATGATTTTACAAGAGTGAAAACCTCCTAAATGAGGGATCCGTGATTTGAGGATCAAATCAGGAAGGGAAGGATTAATGTGAAGAAGTATTTATCATGATTTGGACATCAGATTGACTAAAATTATGGGAGAGGATAATTGAGCATAAGTTATGATGTGATATTAATATTTCTTAGAACAATTATGATCGCAACCTTCTTGCTGAGCATATTAGCGACGACGCGAGTTTTTTCATGATTAGATATCGCAGTTCCACACTCCTAAGTATATTTTTCTCACGTAGTATATTGGCCATTGCTTCCTTCTTCCTTGACGAGCACGGAATTGATTGCGTCCTTGCCGACCCCTAGATACAGTAACAGCGTTTAACCCGGACGCAGGCTTTGGAGAAGGGGTGGTGATGTGAGAAGCTTTAGTTGATGAAAGGTTGCTTTGCAATGCTCGTCCCAATATAACATTTTTGCCTTGCGTGGGACTTGAAGAATGACAAGCACCTCTCACCAAGTTTGGAGATAAAATAGTTTACCTCAGCAACTTGTGTGGTGAGTTGTTGCACATCTTTAGCTGTTTGGGGTGGCTTCATTACAAATATGTCTTTAACCTTGTCACGGTTGACCTAGGAACTTTCCAAAACTTGCACTAAAAGTACACCTTGGGGGTCAATCACATATTGTACTTTTTAAGAGTGGCGAATGACTCCTTCAAGTTTTTATCTATGTAGACCTCAATGTTTCTTTCTTTTTGCTCTTTAAAGTCCTTATTAAGAATTCTTTGATCGGTCACCCCTGCATTTTAGCCCGAAAGCATTACCTCATTGCAATACAAGCCTTCCGCTGTAATGAATGATGTCTTTTCACAATTGTACAAGTGCATTTTGATCTAGTGGTAGCTGGAGAAGGCGTTCAGTAAGCCCATTAACGAGTATTCAACTGCTGAGTCGACCAGAGTATTGATCTTGGATAGTGAATACTCGTCCTTCGGGCATGTCACGTTCAATTTGTGACACACATCTACTTCTTTATCTCTTTCTTTACCATGATGATGTTGGAGATTCGGCCTGAGTACTGGACCTCTCTGACGAAGTTCACAACTTTGAGTTTTTCCACTTCGTCCTCGATGGGTTTGGCGAGCAATTTGGTTATCTTATTTTTTTCTTTATAGGGTGTGCATACTTATTCACATTGAGTCTATGACAGGAAACTTTGTCGATGCTTGACATTTTTGTAGTCCATATAAATACGTTGAGATCACCTCACAATGCTTGAAAGAGCTCGTCTCGATATTCCCTGCTGAACAAGGTGTTGATTCTAAAAGTTTTGCCTTGTTCCTCTTCCATGGAAGGTACTTCTTCCGCTTCCTCATACGTCTCTAGACCTAGATCGTGTTCTGCATCTAGTTGGCCACTTTGTCGACTTCCTTTAGGTAGCCGATGTGCGACTGGATGAGATCACCCCTCATCGTAATTTCTTTTCGTTATATTGGGAACTTGACAGTGAGGTGGTAGGTGGATATAATGACCCTAAAGATATTCAGCAAATGCCTGTCAAATATGGCGCTATAGCTTTTCGAGGAATCAACTATAATGAAATCGACCATTGCAGTATTCTGGTGTTCTCCATCACCCCAAGTGACTAGCAGGGTAAGCACTCCTTCGGTAACGTTGTGCCCACCATAGAAGTCGTAAAGAAGTCCTAAAATAGTGGTAAGTTGGGAAGCAAGTAAGTTCATTTTATCAAAAATGCATTTAAAAATGATGTTGACTAAGCTCCTTGTATTTATGAAAATGTTATCGATTTAATAATTGCAACAAGTGTAGTGACTGTCGCATCATTATGTGAATTTTCTCTGGTTAGTCTGTCTTCTTCGCAGAAGGTGATGGTGGTGATGTCAGTTGTGATGGCTCGACAAACAGACGTCAAGTTGACCTCTCTTGCTTGTGGTCTTTTGGGGCCTGTATGCGAATCCACGCGCTCTCTGTCCATGATGGCGGGTATCGCGTCAATTATATGCACCGAGCAAGATAGTACTGACTCATTTGTGTTGCCGTCAATAGGGTACTTCCTTGGTCGTGGCCTTAGTCGACGATCTTGAACTTTTTAATTTATCATTTTTAATTAGTTCATCCACGAGGTCGCATAGGTGATGACATTTCTCCGTGTCATGACCATAGTCCCTTTGGTAAGCATAGTATCTTGAGGTGTCGCTAGGGTTGTCAGTAACTTTCATTGGCGACAAACGCCTAAAGAACTCTGGTGTTCTGAATGGTCTCTATGAGCTCAACCATTGATACCCTTACTGGAGTGTAAGTGGGATGTTGACAAGCAATTTATTTATGGTAAGGTTGGATGGCTCGAGAAGGCTTATCAACTCTGGGTGTTGGAGGCTCCATTATCTCTAAGGGTCTTTGATGCGTGGGCATTCATTGCTTCTTAGGACGCCGATAATCATCAACTTGGTCAGATTTTATGTCCCTTCTGTCCCTAGGACGGGATCTTTCTCTATCCCTTCCTCGATGGGGCTCTCGCCTGGGGGCGATCTCACGATCAGAATAGCTGTAAAAGATTCTGCTTTCTGGTTTTATTCTTTAGTGTTCACATGATTGTTAGTCATATCTAATATTTCAAAGAGTGTTTTCAACTGTTGTAAATCGCATATCTAAAAGGACCCTTCCTTAGACCTTAGGTCAAGGTGACCTGGACGACTATAGGGCTTCAGATTCTTGACGTCTAGCATTTCTATTTGGAACCTCACTATGATGTTCCTCAGGAATTCCTCGGGCTCTTGTAGCATCTTCAGTTGGGCCTCTGAGTTCTTCGGGGCTCTCTTGGCCCTGGCGAATTACTTCATGAATATTCATTTGAACTCAAAGAACAAGGTGAGTACTCCCACAGGAAGGCGAGTGAACCATCAGAACGTCGATTCTTTGAGTGTCATGAACAAAAGACAACACTTAAGTGTGTCATTTACATCCAGCATAAAGATCATAGATTCGAAAGTGGCCAGATGGTTAGTGCGATATGTCTTACCTCGATTTGGCTCCAGATGCGACATTTTGAATTGGAGGGGCAGTTTTGCCTTGATGATTGCATTTGAGAATGCATTGGTTGGTTCTAACTTCTCTTTTCGAACTTGTATGGTTGACGAGCTATATTCCTCAATACTCAACTAAGTGCGAGTGTGGTCAGTAACAGGTGTAGAAGAGAGAGTGCCTTTCTCGGGTCAGATGACTCTTTGGGCGTATCTTCTGGCTGTGTTCTTCCCATCTAACTGCCCAAAGCCTCCCTAATCATCATCTTCAGAATTCATTCTTCCCCTCCATATCCTTTAGATCTTGCCGAGTGGTGTACTCTGCATTCTCCATATCAACAAGTGGTTCTTGCTAAGAACACCTATCAAGCAAGATCTGTCTTCTGGTCTATGGCATCGATCCACGCTCACTACACTTAAGAGGATGTTGGATCCAAAATTGTTCGATGGATGGCAGGCTCAGAAGAACATGTTGGTGATAATAGATAATAAGAGAGAGAAATAAGCTAGTAGAACTTTTGTTATCCCAGTTAAAAATATAATAACAAATTTAAGGTTTAAAAAGGTCCGGATTTCTAGATAATCAAAATTTAGACCTTTTAACTTTTCCTCATCACCCCATACTTATAGGATTTTGAGGGTTACTAGAAAGGCTTTAGGCAGATGCTAGTACAATGCTACACACTAGTTTAGGACACATGGCGCCAGGCGCCAGGCGAGTTCAAGATAGAGAGAGAGAGAGAGAGAGAGAGAGAGAGAGAGAGAGAGAGAGAGAGAGAGCAAGTGTAGCGTTAGACTTAGGATGAGCTGTTGCCAATTGGGCGTGTGATTGTTGAGGTAGGTGCCTTCCCTAGTTTGGTGAGTTCGGAACGCTACCCGAGGATAAGAGCTTGATTGAGGTGAGCAACAATTTTCTTTCTTGGTTAGAGGACCTTCTGGTCACTTGGCATAGGGAAAGTTTTTCAAGCGTACACAGGTGAGTGTCGCCTTTTTTCCTTGGATGGGTTCCTCTGGTGTATACAGGTGAGTTTACGAAGGCATCTACTCCTTGGAAGACGTACACTTGCTGCGACCGGCCACTACATGTGAAAACATATGTGAGGGAAACAAAGGGTATGTAAGGATAAAGGCTTATTATATATATATATATATATATATGATTTTATTGTTATGTTTTTATAAAATGACACTCAAAGGGATAAAACATGCATGATTGAATCTCTCATGTAATTTATTGTTCATGTGCATCTCAATTTGCATGCCATCACCTCATATACTGGCAAATTTTGTCTTAACTTGTGTAGAAACCAATTAATTTGGGTGTCATTTTTTAATAATTTTGACTTCATAGACACATTTATACCACCTGCTTCACAAACAAGTGATGTTGGAGTGACTTTGCATAATGTTGAGTCTGTAATTCATCATTTTCAACTACTATCGCTTGAATTGAACAAAAGGGTATTTTCTTGTTAATTTGATGTTCTAAGTGGATTTACGAGATTCATGTTTGCTTTAAGGTAGAAATCATTCAGTAAAGAGAAAGAGGTAGAGATAGAGGGAAAAAAAATAAAATTAATAAAAATTAAAAAAAAAGGTAGAGATAGAGGGAAAGGTAGAGAAAGATTAATCATCTTAGCTATAAATGATAGTTCACACACACAATCAAAGAAGTAAATAAAACAAACTGCTGACAAAATAACTTCTTAGTTCTTACATGAAGATTTCATAAAGAATAAAATAACAATGTTAAGGCCAAAGCTTTTAAAAATAGTATATATTTGTTACAAAAAAACTCTTCCTTAAACTCAAGAAGGACATCGCTAGAAAGCAAATGAAAGCATAATTTTTCTAGTATCCTGGTGATAGAAACATAAGAAATCTAAGTGCATTGTAATACTCTTCGAATATATATTTTTTATTGTTGCTGGATAATATTTTATTCCAGCCCTCAATGATACACGTGACACTTCGATTAATTTTTTAGGGATGTACATACATACCACAATTTTTATATATTTATATTTCTAACACTTAAATTTATATATTTTTACACCACTTTAGTATCTAAATCACATCAAAGCATATGCATGAAAGGTGTATTTAAATAAGTTAATGTTAGTGGTTTTTTAATATTATTTAGATATTTGAGTGTTATTTAAGTACATATAAAGATTTAGGTGTTAGATATGTGAATAGATAAAAATTTTGGGTTATGTATGTAAATTCCCCTTAATTGTTTTATCAAAGTATAAACTTAATTTGGACACTGTGATCCCAAGACTTGTTGCCTCATTTAGTTCATGAAATTCATCCTTTACATATGTAAAGCTTAAATGATATGGTTTAAAAAACAATAGTTTACCAAAGGAGATATTGATGAGGACATCGTCAGCATTGTCGACGCCGGAGATCGACGGCCACGAGCATGACTTGTATTTTGTCATTTTATGTAGTAGCGTATTTATTTTGATGTTTTTCCACTTTTGCCCTTATGGGCATTTAGTCGCTTATGTAGCCCGGAAGGGCATTTGTGTCATTTCTTATTTTCTCATTTTGGCCTATTTATATGAGGCCTCATGCATTGTAATTTCAGTTTTTGAATGAAAGAAAATTTGCCTCTAATGTTCTCTTTGTGAGTGCACTTCTCGTAGATCTCTTAGTGAGTTCGACGGGGAATTTAGATCTCTTTGTGAGTTCTAACTTGCGTCCAAATTCATTGTGCGGAAATCCGGGTTGAAGATAACTAAGGTTAGTGAATTCGTCGCCACTTGATTCCTTGGAGATCTCCCCAATTTTTCTCCTCTTGGGCTTACCGCCGTCTACCCCTCCCTACCTCCCCACCGGCGGCAGCAGACCCTCCACCGCCGGCCACCTTTGGCCGGCCCCATTACCCGTGATCTTCCCAGCCACCAAGCCGGCAGCCTTCCCCCTCCGTTCTTCCATCCCAGCATAGCCAGCCGTGAGCCCCTTCTCCCCTCCCCAGCTCAACGATTTCCCTGGCAGCCTTCACAGCCGTTACTGGCTGTGTTGCCAAACCGTGGAAATCAAGCCTTTAAGGCTTGATTAATTGCTTTCTTAATCAGCCTTAGACATTTAAATTCCATCCGTTAATGGGAATTTGAAATTCCAATTTGTTTCTTGCCTACAACCGTGAAAGGAAAATTCCTTTTCTGTGAAATCTGAATAAATTCAAATTTTATTTAAAACCTATTAATGGCTGCTTTAAATCAGCCATATTAAGCAAATGATAACTGGCATTTGATTTTCAATTTGAATTTCAAACCTGCTTATGACGTACACCCACAAAAGGAAACCTTCCTTTTTATTGAAATCTGATTCTTTACTACAGGTTTTATTTAAAATATGTTGCTTAATTGTGTGGGCCCCATTTGATTATATAATTAAACCTTCTCTCCCCTCCATGTGGCCGGCCCATTGATGGCTCCTCTCTCTTCCCAATTTGACAATAATAACACCACAAAATCAGCCCAAAATTCTTCCCCTTTCACCGCCCCATTAATATCATTTGAATTAATTTGAATCCCTCAAAGTAATTCCCTCCCACCTCTATCAAAATAGAAATTCCTGCACCCAACTCATGGTCTCTCCCTTGGCCGAATTCTCCCAAGCCCGCCAAAGCTCGAGTGCTTCTCCCGGGCCGCTGAATACACCTTCAAGAAATTGCTGGCAAGAATTCCATATTCCGGCAACTTATCCAAGAACGACGATCCAAGGTTCCTTCTTCCTCGGAGCGACCTTGATTCTAAGGTGGAGACTCTTCTTCCGCTAAAGCCTAGATTAGTTGAGCGTATGGGCTCCAAAGGTGAGAGTTCTCTTTATTAATTAGTGGATTCTTGTTTATTGTCGTAGCATACAATTATCCCTTGCATTTTCTTGAATTGATTGGTTAAACGAATGTCGCTCTTCGTTGCCTAAGCGAGTTAAGATTAAGAATTCTTAGGTTCACTCTTTTATTACAAATGATAATTTTAATTTGGCTTACTTTGTTCAAATTGCTCTCTAGAATTTCCTAAAGTAACTCCATCGCATGTACGTTTCACATCAGATATACTGTTATTTAGATACAATTTTAGAAAAGAAGTGAAAATGCTATTAAGTCTCAACCATGCTCCGGATTTATAAGATAATAGGAATTCATTCCTTTAGTTTACCTTAACACACAACTCTTTTGTATTGCATCAGACTTGATCTTTATCAGTCCTTACTATGTTCAGCATAATTTAGTAAATATCTCGTCATCCATTTTAATTTATAATACATGGATGGCTAATATCTATATTAGATATCCTTTTATTTTGGGTTCTAAAAGGTCAAGCACACGTGGAATTATAGGCCTTGAATTGGTGTACTAGGAAGTAATAGTATGTTTCATGAGTGAGTTTATAATTTATCTTGCCTGTAATGTGAGCAAAAGTCTGTTTACTGCTCTTGCCCTCAAGAAAGAGGGAAAAAAAATCACCATCAAGAAACTCTTCATAACTTCTAACTTGGTTGTCAGGTAGCATCAGTAAATATATACTATCTTCTAGCTAACGAGACTGTTGATGACATAATCTGGTATGGCTGTTTCTACTATCATCATCTCTGCTTTATGTTCTAATTCTTTAGGAGAAAGTTTGACGATAATATATATATATATATATATATATATATATATTTAACAGGGATGTTGTGCAAAGCAAATTGGAGAATTTAGGCCAGGTTCTCTCTCTCTCTCTCTCTCTCTCTCTCTCTCTTGGATGATATTAGATATTCCTTTAGTTTACCTTTTACACGCACATGAAAGAATATGTTTGTACCTCTGTGGTTTTGAATTTCAGAGTCATATAACATGCTTTTCATCTGTCTGTAGCTATGCACTTGGCTTGGCAATCTAATTTTTCTTGTTTTCATATGCCCTAGTCTGCAGTTTTTGTTTTAGATTTCTGAAACATCTTATCGGCTTGTGTAGTCAAATTACATCTTTACAAGAATTTTTTTTTTTTTTTCATTTGGCCGGAATCCTTTGAATTGCTCTTCACTTGATATCCTTTGTTATTTTCAATGTTGTTGACGCTGGAAGACTGCTTGAGCTGAAGAGATGTTGAGGAGCTACTTAAGATGCCTCACGAAAGTTCAAGAATGAGTTTAGATAGTTCGGATGAGTCAAGTGGTAAGTTGATTCACTCAATTCATTGTGGAGAGGAAAAGAGGAAAGTATAATGCAAGGAGAATTGGTTTCTATCTCACTATGAACTCTCTATAATAATTTTCCAAAATCTCTTTTCTATCTTGATTTCTCTTAAGAACAAATTTGTGGAGCTTTTTCCGGAGAATGGTTCTATCTTGACATCTAAAGGTGACCCACATGTCTCTTGCTACCCTGTCTTGTCTATATTTTGTCCTGATCATACTTTTAGTTGAGCATCTAAGCTAATTAAATGATTTGATATATTAGTGAGCCTGATCAATTGTCATTGTGAACAAACTTTGACCTGTGGAATTGTAGAGCTATCTATGTATTCTGAGCGGAGTGGATCCTTTTGGTCCATATTTTCTTATTGGATCTCATATCATTTACATTCGATCATGCAAATGGATTTTTATTCCTTGTTGTTCGAACAGACCCTGCTTTGCGAAGCAGGGTGGCAAGCTATCTAGGTACTCCAATCCGAGCAAGTTCTTTTGGTTAGATCTCATGTCACTTAGTTACTATATTTGATGTTCAATCTAACTGTATAAAGGGATTTTTCATTTCACTTGGTTCCTGCATTCTATGCTCGATCTTATCTAGTTGAACATTTGTACGAATCATTCCATAAGAACGGGACCATCTTTGTTCGCTCTCCTATTTTCTCAGATCAAAATACCAATAAGGCATTCCGTTGTGCTGGTATGAAGGCGAGAACGATGTTTCTGTTTTTCTGGCATTTTGTGATTGAGCAAACTTGAGCCATTTTATTGGTATTTTGTGAACTAAAGGCTTATGATTCTTCTGCCTTTTCGCTTGGATTAAGTTAGGGGAATTGGTTCCCCTGAATGCGTAGTTTAAGGACTAGTAAGTTGGAACATTTGTGCTATTTATATGATGTTTTCGTTCACGGAGGGCTCATAGCTCGGTGGCTAGGACAAACTTGTATTTTTTTTTTTTTTTTTTTATTTGCATAGATTGCAAGAATGAATCATAGATTCTTTGATGCCTCTCCATAATAATCCTATAGCTTAGATTAATTAAGTAATTCAAGTTAATTATAGCTTTACTAAAATTATACTATGATTTATAAAGTTTTGGCCTCTAGGCCTAAATGAATTTGCGTTGAAGTTTTATAAGATGAGTTTTAACTTTTTGGTACAATTAATCATTATTGGATCGGCATGTGCTTGAAGCTTTTGGCCCGGATGCATTGCTCTTGTAACCTTGTGGGTATTGATGGCTGGGAATCCTTTTTAGCTCGAAATCTATTTTTTTCCTCTTGTCATTACAGAGACATTTATGGCCTGGAGATATTGCTCATGTATATGCCAACTTGAGTTTTATGGCACAAAATCTATCCTCGGTCAATTTAGATGGACTGGAGATTTTGCTTGGGCTTTCTCGGCGAATGTTTACTGGCTTATTTTATTTATTGAAGTAACTCTGTTTTGAGTAATTTGCCTTGCACTAGTTGCCACAGCATCTGGTCCAAATTTGTATCATCTACAAATTTATGTGTATTGGAAATAGTGGCTTCTTATTTTTTGGAATCATTAATTTATATCCATCATGATACCCTAAATTTAATTTATCTAAAGTTATATAAGATTTCAACCTAAGATTTGCATATTTTCTTGTGGACAAAAAAATTGTGAGCTTTATTTTCCCCTTTTCATATGGACAGGTACTTGATGGTGAGGAAAATAAGCTCGAGGTGGCAAGCTCCCAAACAATTAGCAGCAGCCCTGCAAAGCAGAAAACCTTGGATTCCTTCCTTAAACGTTGCCCCCGTTCTCCGACGGCTGCTCCCACAGCCAAAATTCCAAAATATTGAAAGAAACATTTTGTTCTCTCTCTCTCTCTCTCACTTTTGCAGCTGCTATTATGATCTTTTTGGTGTAGTGGCGATTGGGGGAGATGGAGCTGCTCTCAACCCCTTCAGATTCTTATAAAAAAAAATTATATAGTTATATTTATGTGATGAAAGTTTTATCAGTAAATACTTATTCCATTATGTATATTATAAAATGTGCCCCTCTCTAAATTCACGGTAAATAATTTCATTTCTTCTCACAGCTTTGTCTGTCAGTGAGATGGCATTTTATTCCTGCTAATGAACAGACTTAAAGTTAGCCAAGATATATAGTATCTAACGTTTTGTGTGGCCTTTTTAATGGAGAAGTAAATGGCATAAGGATGAAAATTTACTGATGGCAGTGAAGAAAGGGTATAAAATCAAAGCATGAAAAAACAACAAATATATATATATATATATATATATATATATGTATGATCAATTGCCTATAAGAAAGAAGCTCTGTTTCCTGGAAGGAATGCAAATATAAATTTATGCAATACACGCTACAGCATGATCGGAGAATATTTAATTTACAAAATAAATAATTTTATTATTATATCCGCAGGGTGCATTTATTAAAGGTATCATTGTGAAAAAGAATGCATTAACGTAAACTTAAAAAAACATGAGCCTTCTGCAGCTACCATATTTTAACAATTCTGAATGTTAGGTAATCATTATGTTAAAAAGATTCATGTGGCTGATATTATATGGTGGGATGTTGTTGTGATGTTATTGTTTAATAATTTTAGATGTAAAAAACTTCTTAACTGAAACAATTATGACAAAACAAAATCAAAATTATGAATATGATTGAAAACTTATCGAAACATATTCATACAAATTATCATAAACAAAAATGTGACTAGGGCTTATAACATTGCACCTGAAAAGGGGCATAATTAAAATCCCTTTCTCAAGATTTGCATATAATTTCCTCAAAGGCAGCATTGATACAGCTCCCTTTAGCCTGCACAGATTAACACAAGTAAGTACTCAGTTGAAGATAAACTTCTTCGAAAGCAGCAAAAAAGGTTATTTAAGATGGGAGTCCTACCTTCACTCCGATGGCCAAAGCAGTTTTTACGTTTAAAAGCCCGCCTAATCTTAAGGAACCTCCTTTCCCATCCCTCACAAGAATAACAGGTACCTTTCTTGAGGATGCCAACGCCGGTATATGCTTCGTCAGCCATTTGGGGTTGCAATCAGCGGCTACAAGCACAACCTGCTACAAGAAAATGATGATTATTTCAACCCAAGATAGTTGACCCAACCTAACCAAAAAATTCTTATTAGCAATCATCAGTTACAACATCAACGAGGATCTAAAGAAACTGGAGGGAAGGCTAGTTAAAGAAGTCAATTTTAAGCCAACTTTAGAAAATAAAGAATCGTGCTCTATTAGGGTTTAGGATTTAAGGTTTAGGGTATCTAGGTTATCCTCTTCCTATCTGCCATTTGGAATTTTTGGCAAGAAAGAAATAATAAATTCTTTAATAATAAAACAAAAACAGGAAAAAAAACATCTAACAAAACATCATCTCCCAGGTGTACTTTTGGATTGATAATCACAAGGGTAATAAGTCATTGTTCATTACCAAAAAGAATTTGGAATATGGCACTGCTCATTCAAGAATAATAACAACAACATCATCATCAAACCTTTATCCTACTATGTGGAGTCGGGTATATGAAGCATTTTTCTCCATCGTCTCCTGTTAAGAGTCAAATTCTAACCATCTAAGGCGACTCTCACTAATCTTATATGCCACTGGAGCTACTCCAACTTTTTCATGTATATGCTCGTTTCGCATTCTTTTTGGTAATGAAGAAATTGGAAACCACTGGGGCTACTCTAACCTTGGAATAAGGCGCTGCTCATTAACAAGAAGAAATTGGAAACCACCCAGACAATAACTAGATTTATTTTATGCAACTATTTATCTTTAGATCCGCTTAGCTATTTGGTTCTAAGATCTTTTCTCTCTTTTATTCTTTCTTTGTAATCTTTTAATCATTTTTTCCTTTTGAAGAGATGGAATTTTCCCTAGCTTTCACTCAAAAAAATTAGAGTTCATGAAACGTACTAAGTTGTAACAAAAAAAAAATTCGCTTCAAAAAGGACACCTACACTAAACCAAAACTATTTAAGCTAAAATTCTCCCAAAAAAAATAAATTAATCCAAAAAATATAGTTGTGTGCAATAGTAATCATGAAGTCTCACCTGAAGTGACACCAAAGTAGCTTTTCGCATAACATTGTCAAAACTACATGAAATATCACGAACAGCTCCTGTTGTTTCAATTTGAGGCATCCTCTCAAGTAATCGGGTAACATCATTGACTCCAATTGCAAATTGTTGCTGCACATAACCAAAATGAATTACTACAACAACCAGGCTACATCACAACCAAGCTCTCCAATGCATGCAAGAAAAAAAAAAAGGAAAATTAAACCCTCTCTTCTGGAGTTGAAATGGTAACATTCAAAATAAACCAACCTTGATCCATATTTTATCAGGCAACTCTCTTTTTAAAGGCTTTGCAGATTCAATGCTCCTAAAATAGAGATGTACTGAACTAATTATGAACGATAACACAAAACGTATGACCTAGATAGAGAAGCCAGCAGGTTACCTCCAAATTTTGTCTAGAAGACCATCAAGGCGTTGCCCTTCATAAGTATCTAAAATCCCTCTGCTCAGAGTCACTCCTCTGTTAAACAAAAATATCAGGGAAACAAGTAAAAAAAGAATGCAAATCTTGAATAAAGACAAAACATTACATACTGTTCTTGAGCATCCTTGGTGGCCACGAAAGGCCTACGAGATTTCTTCTTCTTGCTCATATATCAAAATACTTTTTCCAAAGTTTCAAAGTGCTGATATATCCAGACAGATAAAATGCTACCAACCCCAGTTCAGAAACCTAGTTGGCCCATTCAAGCCCAATTAAAGAAGGATGGAATGTTTGAGTGTTTTGGTTTATCATATACAGTACTAAGTTGTACATAACAGGAAAAAAAATAATAATCATAAAAATAAATGATTTCGACAAATTTCCTGATTTTAAAACAAGGCTATTGTTGGATCCAAATATATCCATGAATGACAACCAACCTTACTAGCAAAGCAACCTCTGAATAAGAACTTGCAAACTTAAAGTGAGCATGGAAAAAGAAAGAAAAAGATTTAGAAAATTTGGGAGAAAAATAAAGAAAATCAAGATCTCGATAATACTACAATAGATCAATAATGCTCTAAAAATGGTCCAAAATGTGTTTCTTCACCTTATTTATAGGAATCTTAGAGCTATAGAAAAAATTACATCAAAAGAGGTAAAACAAAATACATGATTTATTGTGGCCCATTACATGTTGTACATGACACGTGTCATGACCTTAAAGGTACCCATGTGATTATTTGTTTCTAGCTTGATCCTCGATTTCAAGGCGACTCCCTAGGATAAGTCTTCGCGGATGAGTTGGTATGGCGAGTTCTTTAGGCATGCTAGCAAGTTCCTATGGCGAATCCTCTGAGAGCATTGGCAAGTCTCTAGATGCGCTTCTTCAATTAAGTACAAAGGGTGAGTCCCTTCAGATTGTGATAATAATGAGCTAAGTGTTGAAATCTAATAAAATTGCAATGTGATAAAAATGCTAAATTAATGTCAGGACAAAAGCAAGGCATGGTTCGGATAGTTTTGGAGCAAGAGAATTAAAGATCAAAAACATTTCAGTGACAAAGAATACACATCATTTGTGGCCTATATGGTCAATTAGGGTTCATTGATGTTAACAAATATTAACCCCCATAAAAATATAATAGAGGGAAATCAAGAAAACCCTTCCTGCATAAATGAATATGAAAAAGACGGATGCTCTTAACTTAAGTTGAATTATTATCATCTCTAATTTACAATCACAAGGGGATATCTATATTGATGTGCAATAATTGGTTGTTATTAAAGGAGATCCCCTCTAAACAATTCTCAGCTCAACTAAAGTCTCCAAAGTATGATTGTAAATCAATGTCAAAAAAGAGTCGAGTCAATATGGAAAGATTCATCTCCATAATCTTAAATCAAATCACACATGTTTTGTATTATGTCATAATCGTTCATTGACAAGTCAATTCAGACTCTTCCAAAATGGACAACGACCATCAATTATGACTTCGACCAACAGTTTTGAGATTTCTTTTTCCATACATCAAGGTAGAGACATCATTCCCAAAGAGCTAAATTAAGCCCAAACAGATGCAAATCAGATTGGACCTCAATAAGCTCTACTAAACTCCCTCAAAAAATAGATTTAAGTACATTATGCTGTAGACCTTTCAAATAAAAAAGGGGGCAGTTATGATTAAAGGACGTGTTGGAATATTTATATTAAGCACAAAAATGGAGATTAGATAATAACAAGACCCAACTGTCACCAGGCACCGTTGAAAGCAAGACTATGGCTTCGTTTGGGACGGCTTGCTTACTGCTGCTTTTTAGTACATGTCTTATGAAAAGTCATATAAAACAAATGAAAGAAAACGAACGGGGTTTTTCACGTTTACGGGGATTGAGAGTTTTCAGGTCTCTGTCGCTAGTCTACTGGTCTCAAACGCAAGCAAGGTCCGATTTCCTCACTGCACTGCTCTTCACGCGAATTCACAAGCCTCGTCCGTCTCTGTAAGCGCCCGACTCGACGTCGGCTTGCCTCCATCAACCTCGCCTCCGATTTCTTCAAGCGAACGACATTGGATCGTTCGGCCCTAGGTCAGACGTCGACCTCTTCACGCGAGTTCGCAAACCCGCACGAATCCGCCTCCCTTCCGATTCTTTGGCTTTCTGAATTTTGAAACAGTAAGGGAGAACTGTGGTACTCAATTATTTGTTAATAGGACACTATTAAGTATTAACAAATAATTTATTACAAATCAGATGGATTTATTGTGTCTGATAATAATTGATTAAAATTTTTTTTACTAATTATTATTATTACTAAGAAAAGGAAAAACAGGACGCACCGCAATCATGACTTAGGATGTGTTTGGGACGGCTGCAGCTGTCGGTAAAGCGGGATGTGAAATTGGTGTACATAAAGCTGCTTTCTGAAATTGCTGTATAAAAATCATTATATTTTGTTTGGATAGAATAACTACAAAACTGCTGTGCTGCAGCTGCATGGGAATAAATTGTATATAAAGAGAAAATAATTTTTTTTTTAAATATAATTTTTTTCTTCGCCTCTTCTAATAATCCAGTTTTCTCTTTGACAATGGAATTTTTAGCTTTGGAAGATGGTTAGACTTGTGCATTTCAGCTTAAGTTTGCTGCTTCATGCTCATCTCCTGCTCCACGTTCACATCATGCAATGTCGTCTCTTCGTTCTCGTCAAGCTCCATGTCTGTAAGTTAAGTTTGAGTCTTTGCAGGAAGAATTGCCTCGTGAGCTTTGCACTGGTCTGGATTCAGCGAGTCCGGGAAATAATAATAGCTTTAGGGACAATAAAGTTTAACCATAGAGTATATACTTTTCTTCAAGAAAATTAATCCTACAAGCATACCAGCATTCTTCTATCCTGTCGCAAAGGGGTTTATTGAGCTTGCCTGGTTATCTCATTCCCAGCCACAAGAAAGAACGCAGTATGCCTGAAGAAATTCATCATTTTTATTTTTTGAATCGAGGTCAATGCTTGGGGTAATATACTAATATCTAATGCCTACTGCATATGGTGTAATCATCTCTATGCTGCTTGATGAGTACAGGAAATGGACGATGGCACCCAATTAGGGCAGAATGACCTTTTCTTTGGGAGTAAAGAGGAGGGCCTCCCATTCTCTGCACAAAGAAGTCATACTGATTCTGAATCACATCCTCCTTCCTCGACCATGCGAAGATCGATCGAAACCACTGCTTGTCATCATAAACCCTGTTGTAGAAATTAGTGGACAGGTTAAGAAAAGGCTTAATGTCGTCGTCAACAGCATTGAAGACATTGGTTTCGTCCATCGCAAAGGCGTCGCTCGCCGCGACGCCGCTCCACACCGACGCTTTCTACTGCAATGACTGCATCTCCTCTGCGACGTCTGCCATGGCGAAAAATTGTAGTCGGAAGCAGTGCTGAAGGCTTCGGACGACGGTCACGAATATTTGCAGGGGAGAATTTACGCCATTTTTCTAGGAAAGCAGCGGACCGCGGGACCACGGGAAAGGTCTCGGAAAACAACTAGGTGCCGCAAAAATTTTTCTAACGTGGTTGTGCCGCAATGCCCCAAACGCCGATTTTATAAATTTTTATAAAGCAAAGTAACTGTGCCGCCGTCCCAAACATACCCTTAGGCTTCGTTTGGGACGGCTGCACTGTCGGTAAAGCAGGTTGTTAAGTTGTTGTCCAAAAAGCTGCTTTTTAAAGTTGTTGTACATAAATCAATAAATTTTGTTTGAGTAGTATAACTGCCGAGTTGCCGTGCTGCTACTGTATGACAACAAATTAACTTGATACCATTTTATATAGGGCTGCAAGCGAACCAAACGTTCGACGAGCTACTCGTTGTTCGGTTCGATTAAAGTTCGTTTGTGATCGTTTAATTAGCTAAACAAACAAACTTGAACAATATTTTAAATACTCGATTCTTAAATAAACAAACTTGAACACTACTGCGTTCGATTCGTTTATGTTTGCGAACAACATCATTTGAAGTTCATGAACAAGCTCGACATTAAGCTCGATAAAAGCTTGATTCGTGTTCGATTTTGAACTCGTGAATAAGCTAGATAAAAATAATTAATATGTGACTATAAAATTAATAAATATAAATAATCATTGCCTTTATTACATAAACAATTGCTTTTATTATAAACGTGTTCGTTCATAGATATGTTCATGAACGTATTTGTTTGATAGTTAAAAAAAATTCGTTAAATATGTTCACGAACAAGCTCGATAAGCACTAAACGAACGAACATGAACTGAACATGAACCGAACATGAACACTCATTAATTTAAATGAACCAAACATGAACACAAACAGTAAAGCTCGAACAAACATGAACCAAACTTGAACAAGCTGATATTAAATGAACACAAACATGAACATTCACATACTCGGCTCGGCTCGGTTCGTTTGCAGCCCTAATTTTATATGTTGAGATAAATATACTTATATTACTGAATTAAAATTAACTAATTTTATCTAATCTCTTATATCAGACAGTTGATAAATATAATTCTGTAATTTTATTTAAAATTTATGAAAAGAAAGAACAACAAAACAAAACAATCTCATTTTAATCATTTGTTTTAGCAATAAATAAATAAAAAATAGTGTAAGTATTTTTAACTCGAGACTAATATTTTTATAGAACGCTCCTTATCCTTGCACTATCAACTCCTCAGTCCTCACTATCCACGACGGCCTCCCCCTTTTGTCTCTGATCTTCCACTCTCTGAATCCAAAATCGAAAATGGCATCAATTCCTTGCACTATCCATAACCATATCTCATTATCTTCTTCGTGTGCTCGCTCTTCCCAGGTATTGCGTTCTCCGTTCTTGGCTTTCACAAAGAGAGTCGGGTGGCGGAGAGATTCACGGTTAATGAAGAGAGCAGATTTAGCAGGCGGAGGTGGCGGAGCTCGCGGAGCTCGGTGTTGGTTTAAGTTTGGGAACCGCGGCGTCGACGCCGAGGGCGCTGGGATCTATGGAAGCCAATATCAGGACGATTTCGACCGGGATGATGTGGAGCAGGTATTTACGGGAATATTTGCAGCGGGGATTTATGTCATTTTCCTCTTCGAAACAGCGGAAAGCACGCGGACCACAGGACAGTGTGAAATGTCACGATACGCACTTGCGTGCTGCGAAATGTTTCCAACCGGGTTCTGCCGCAATGCCCTCAAACGATCATTTAATAACTTTTTGTAAAGCAAAGCAATAGCAACGTGGTCCCAAACTCATCCTTAAAGGAGTCTCGGTATTGATTGGATCCCCGAACGTCCAATTCAATGGCCCTCCATCAAATTCGGCCGAATGAATTGAAGACTCGAAAACTTTCTGGGATCAATTTGGAAAAGATTGAAAAAAATGATGATCAGATAACTAATTGGATAAGTACTAAAAAAATCTAATCAAAATCAATTTGAAAGAAAATTGACCGTGAGTTAATTAATAATAATTAATTTAAAAATAAAATCAAACTCTCGCTAACTGATTTAATTTTTAAAAAAACAACAGACTCAACGATTTAAATTTTAACTTTAAGCTCTAATAGTTAACATATTCAATAACCAACTTAATTAATTAAGTATTTTTTTTAAATCAAAACATTTAAAATTCAATTAACTGATACAAAAAAATTCAACAATTAAAACTAAATCAACTCAAAACTTTGACTGATTTAAACTAAATCAATCAAATCAATTTAAATCGATTAAAAGAGATCTAAGTCTTTAAATGATTGATCAATGTGAGATTTAATTTAAAATTAAATAAACATTCAATTAAATTAATGAGTTATTAAATTTAATTAATAATATAATTTAAATTAATTAAATAATTTTAAAATATCATTTAAAATATACAATCAAATTGAGCAAATTAAATTTTAATTAATCAACTTAATTAATTAATGCAATTATTTAAATCAAAATAAAACATAAAATCAAATGAGCATCAAATCAGTGTTTTTCCACTATCCAATCAACTTAAGTATAAACTACTGAGTAGCTCTCAAATACAAGCTCTCTAAATAACTGACAGCTCTCATAACTCCTTTGAGCAAAATAGAAATCTCAAACTCTCTCAAACAAACAAACTCAAACCTACTCAGACTTTCAGCTATAGTCTAAACTACATCTACCTGTAAGCTCCCTAAGCTGCTACAAGTACCATGTAATATGCAAGTAAACATGCAAAAAAATAAATTAATGCTAGAAAAAGAGAATATCTAGCTACTACAGGTATATAACAAAGTGCTAAAAAAATAAGTACAGCAATAAACTACTATAGTAGGAGAAACTACAAGCACAAAATGACAAACATGTTATTGAAAGCTAGAGTAGAAAACAACTGCTGGTAAGTAAGTGTCAAAGCCACATTTTAGTGTCAAACTAACAAACAACTATAAACACATGGGCTAATTCTAAGTGAAGTAATAAGACTCACGAATTAGGAAACTTCTAAATGAATGATCCTATATCCAAAATTCAAACCCAAACGGGCAGCCGTGTTATAAGAAATAGTTTGTAAGACCCACAATTTGACACTTTTTAATAGAAGTCGTAAGTCCAACCTCTGAGGGAAATATTTAGGTAATAAAATAACACTAGACCTCTCACTCGGGCATCCTAGTCTATAGGGTCAGGCTGTAAGCCCCAATAAATGGGTCACTTAACTTACGGGGCTAGATCGTAAAACCCGTCATCATGCTACATCAAATAGAAGCCATAAGACACACTCATACTCAAAATCTTCGGGCCACCTCTAATAAAGGTTATATGTCCCACTATTATAGCAACTTTTAAATGAAAGTCGTAAGTCCATATCCAAATCCAATCACAAGGGCAACTCTTAAACAGAGCCATAGGTCCCAATTCAAACTAAACTAAATTAAAATCCACCAATCTCTTCTTCAGTTTACTCAGGATCCTTGAGAGGAGGCAACCATTGATGCTAATTAGATTTCCTAGACACCACAATTAATGGTTGTTAGTGTTGGTAAACTAAAGGTAGTATGTCCCATTATTAGGACTAATTTCAGATAAAAGCCATAAGCCCCTATCAAAATCCAATCACATGGGCAATTTTTAAATAGAGCCATAAGTCCCAACCCAAACTAAACTAAATTAAATCCACATATATTCACTTCAATTTACTCTGGATCCCTGAGAGGAGGCAACCCATAGCTACTAATTAGATTCCTTAGACTTTACAATTAATGGTTGTTTGTTGGTAAACCAAAAATATGATATACCCGAGATGACAGAACCATGGGATGTTGATCGGGTGTACCCCCAAAACTAAGATTAAAAGATTAAAACACTGGCACATTTCCACACTTCTTGCACAATTTTATCCTTAATTGAGAGTGCTCTCATAATGTGTTAGGAGGGGTAATTAACTATAAGGGCTTGCACTTATAGAAAGTTGAACTCAAATCTAAATAAACCCTGACATTACTCTCAGGGAAATTGGGTTAAATATTAAATTCAATCTACCTCAGAAAAAATAAAGGGACCTTAAGCTTGAGAGAGCGATGTTCTCACCAATTATTATTTTTCAGAGTGAACACTAAGAGTGGGTTGAGTACAAAGGATTGAGCCCTTGACCACTTGACACGCTCATTTATTATAAATATATCAACATGTTAGTGGTAGCATACCAATTTGAGAGAGGGTGAATAGCTTTGGGAAACTGCCAAAGCCAAAAATAAAAGTCTTAAAATTTTTGCATGAATATGTACGAGTTACTTGTAGCTCCTCTCGAGGTTGACTCTCTGACCTGACAGACCATTGCATGTCAAATTCCTCAACCAGTGAGTGCTGAGGACAAGGAGATTATACCTAGCGATTTTTAGATATTGATACATCATTTCAAAAGAATTCTCCACATTTACAAGCACATCACCCAAATTATTGGTTAGATGGAAAAATCAACCTCCTTCAAAGGACACTTAGAGAAAGCTTGCCTTGGGTCTTGTTGATGAGTACATACACTTTTAACTCTATAGAAAAAAATTCTTTGAGATCAAATGAAGCTAATTTAGCAACAAGATAAAGACCAAGGGCAAGGTCACAAAGTAAGACATTGCATCAAGTTTGAGCTGCTCATCAAGCACAACTCTCCAGGCAAACCTATATATGACCCATAATATGTCTAAATTATTAAAAAAAAAAAATTAAGAAGCTTAATTTAAGATCACTTGATGGATAGGTGGGCCATACCAATTATGAAACAAAACAATCTTTAATTTTTTTTTTAGGACCGTTTTACTTGTCTTATTTGGCCAATCTTGGCCAATCTGAATTTCATATTTTTGAAATCATTAAATTTTATTTTAATTCTTACTTTCTTTTTTTTTAATAGGACACATCATTAATCCATATAATTTTATTTTATTGGCTCCCAAGGCTTTTCAAAATGATATATTCTTGGAAAATACATAAATAGGACCATTTTTGTACTTCTAGATTCAATAAATAAAAATTATTTTAATTTGGACAAATTTTTTTATGGAAGTCTTAGTTACTACTCTATTATTCAATGAAGCTTGACGGCTGATCTCCTAGAATTTTACTAAGTCCTTAGTTAACTTTTCTCACCCCTATTCCTCCTCTTTCCCAACACAATTCTCATCTTCTCTATATAACATCAATCATAGCTTCCCTCAACCAAAACACATCTAAACCCTTCCAAATATTCCACCACACCTTTCATAACCTTCCAATGCCTCAACTCCCTAATAACCCTAACATAGACTAGCCAAAGGCTCAATATAGAGAGACCATTTGTAACTGAAAACAATCAAATTAAAAGTGTCATAACTCCTTAACCACTGATCCAAAATCTATAAAAACAACAAGCATTACTTGTCTAACATCCCAAATCTTTACCCTTAAGTTCCTCCCCCTTTTCTTCTAAAAAAACCCGCCCTTTAATAGCCTAGAAGTTTTAGCACAAAGTTTATCCAAATCTTAAAAACCAAATTTACCACCACCAAAATAACTTTTCTACCGTGACCCTAAGAGGCTAACAATAAAGTTGTTGTCTTCAACATAAAAATCATATAGATCGCACATCACTAGTAACTAGTATAAAATCATAAAGATCTTATAGACCTTACATCACAAATAACTAGTATAAAATTCATGTCATTTCATAAACTTGCTTACATCCCTATCATTGAAATTTTACACAAAAAATAAAATGAAAATGTTGATAAAACTAATCAATCCAATAACATATATAGAAGGTACAATAACTGAGGTCCTGAACTTAAATCCTAACACTCAAATTTTCTAAAAAAAAGAAAAAAACTTGCACCTTATCAAAATAAATCAACAATACATGTAAGTTCTTAGCCTTTATATCCATTTAGCCATGAAATTGCTTCATTGTAGGGTGTCAATTTGCTGCAATGCAAATGGAAACTCTTGAATTGCACAAACATTTGATGACCTATAATTATAACAAGCCATCAAAGCAAATAGAACGTGTTGTTTGGAATCCTATCCAAGGTAGGATTTAAGCTGAATCCTATACTATAGAATTTTAAAGACTCCAAATCATAGTGTTTAAATAAATCTTATTTTAGCCCTATTATTGATTAAATCCAGGTTTTCTTAGATGCCACAATTCAAAGGATTTAACCAATTATATATCTTGAATCTTGAAACAAATAACCAAACAGTAAATAAGGACATGGCAAAATTTAACAGTTGTGATGCCAAAAGATATTAAAACTTTTATGCTTTACTAATTCTGGATTTACTTAATGACATCAAAACGAACAGGCAAAATAATAGCAGTGATAAAAATGGAAGTTCGAAACAACAACAGCAAACTCACAATCGTGTTACAACAACAACTAGCAAACTCATTTCATCTAAAGGAGAAGCAACACCTACAAACTAGCAACACTAGGTGGCTGTTTGTCTGCAAGTAGGATTTAGTGAATCCGGATTTATTAAATCTTGAGGCAGTCAAATCCTGGCACGGATTAAATCCAGTTAATTTTTGATCAACTGTATAACTATTTATTTCAGTATTTAAGTATCTCAGCTCACATAAGTCTAATAATTATTGATGACAAAATTAAAATATGTTGCACAACTGCAACGAGATTAATTAAATCATACTTGATCCCGATGATTTAAGGCTGTTTGGCCGCAGGTTTTGAGCAGATCTTAAGCAAAACGTAACTCAAATATTGCCAAAAAGAATTAAAAAAACAAAAGAAGAAGAACTCAAATCCTTCAAGAAAATCCAATGCCGTTTCTCACCCGCTTTACCTTTAATCCCAAGTTTACTAAATCCGGGCATTCGCCTGTTTTAACCAAAATACGCAGCGACTCGTAAACTCCTATCCTCCTTCACACGCCTCCAGTCCCTTTGGTGGCTTCTCCAGCCAACTCCCCTCGCTACTCCCTTGCTTCTTCGCCGTCGAGGGCTACGGGGGTTGAGAAAGACAAGGGTTCAGCTTGTTCGGCGTCAAGCAGTAATTATATAATTCGTTAATTTGAAATTTAATTTTTTAAAATTTTAATTATTAGTGATGTCAATTAAACAGGATATGTTAATTAAATTAGTTAAGATAAATTAATATTAGTCAATATTTATTTAAACTAAATTATTTTATTTTATTTATTTATTTTTAAAAACTATTAATTATAATTTAAGATGTTATATTATGCTTATTTTTTTTTTTGAACGGTGATAATCTTTAAAATATATGACTCATGATTTAAAATAAAAATACTATTAATTTTAATTATTAATATTTAATCAAATTAATTAGATACAAATATGTTAATTTAAAATTTAAATTTGGCTAAATAATTATATTAAATTATAAAGGTAGTAACGTAAATAAATTGATATTATTTTTAATCTAATTTAACTGAATGAAAATTAATATATACAATTAGCTAAGCCAAATAAATTACTGATTAATTATTTACTGAGACAATATCTTCAACTAATTATATTTAATTATTCTAATTTGAAATTATATAGACTAAATGGATATTATAAAATCTCAAATTCATAATAATCATTAAATACAGAAACCCTAAACTTAATAAAATTTAATATCTATCATGTCATAAAATTTTCAAAATATAACCCAAATAAAATTTATTAAATCCAAATTCACAAGATTTACTGAATCCTCTAACAAAAAAAAAATGATCCAAGGGAAATTCCACATGGATGAATTAGCTGCTCATCAGTTCTTGAATAAGAACATAACTAAAAATTTTAGATCATTCCCATTAGCTTTAAAAACTGCTTTTTCTCACAATAATTTTACAGAGAAAGCCAACCCAAATGGACCTTTAGGCTTTTTATGGGACGGATTTTTTGCTTCATTCTTAAATCAGTTTTTTAGTACAAATTTAATTTTTGTACTACAAAGTTATTTTAAGAAGCAATAAAAAATTTATCCGAAATGAAGCCTTAGTTAACATAGGCATCAGATCTCGAACAAGCACAATCAGCAGCTTCGCTGTGAATAAAAGAATAGCAAATACTAAAGTATCAATATTGTTAATTTTATAGGGTAAATAAAAAAGAAATATCTCTGAAAAGCAGACTATAGCAAGCAAATATTTACAAGGAAATAACACAAACTAAAGAAAGATAACTTGTTTTTCAGTCTGAGTGGTTATTTTCTAAGCACCATAGAGGCCCATATCTATATTCTTCTCACCCAAGAAATTAGCCACTATGACGCTTACATCCTCTAAACCAACACCAATGCACAGAGGCTTCTTAGAAACTTCACCAAGCTCGTCTTGTAAGCTGTAATGACTCACAATTCGAACATTTGGTCCCTCCTTACATTTCCCCATGCACTTACAGCCAACTACAGCACCTTCTATGCCAACCTTCTTCTCCAACTCCTGCAATAGGCCGATGGCACCAGATTTCTTGCACTTACCTCCCATGCACACCTCAATCTTATCCAAAGGTTTTGCAACTGCTACTACACTGCCGCTGCAATCAACAATTGCAGCATTGTTCATGCAATTGATGCTACTAAGCTCTTGGTTAAGCTTCAATTCAGTGTGATTTAGATTCGTCTTCTCATCAACTTCAATTTCTAGAGATGACTCTGCTTGTTTGCATACAGGTGACTGATCAGGAACATCCAAAATGTTGGGCTTGATTTCCTGGAGATTTTTCTCAGGTTTATTCAGCACTACAACTTCGCACTCACTGTCGCTGGATTCAGAAGAAGAACTTGAGGAGGACATTTCTGCACAGTTACGAATTTTTGCTTGATTTCTTTCAGGTGACCGATCAGGAACATCCAAGATGTTAGGCTTGACTTCCTGGAAATTTTTGCCAGGCTTATTCATCACTACAACTTCACATTCACTGTCGCTGGATTCAGAAGAAGAGCTTGAGGACATTTCTGTACAGTCACGCATCTTTGCAGCTTTCAAGGCCGCCTTCTCTTCTTTCTTCCTTTTTTTCGTCTCCTTTTCTTTGGTTTTCAGCTGGTTCAGTTGTGCTAAAAGGAGCTCGGCTGCTTCCTGCATTACAACAAGGGAAGATTTAACACAGTATGCTAATACCGGAAGGAAGCAAGCTTCTTCATTTTCTTCATAAGATCAACTTTAAAATAACAATTAAGGGAGTTATTAAACTCTCAATTCCTAACAAAATTCGATCTAATATTCCGGAAAATATAGAATAATATAAATTTTAAAACGCTGTAGTGTTAGAGAATGGCAGCGATAAAATAGTAACATATGCATAGTGTTAGAGAATGGCGGCTATAAAATAGTGACATATGCATAAGGGTGTCAACATATGACATAACCAGAAAATCCGACTCTGACCGGACCCGAAAATTTCTGATTCGAGTCAACCCATTTAACAAACAAGTCGAATTAGGGTTTATGTTTTCGACCTGATTGAAATATCGGATCAGGTTCGGGTTAACCGCAAAACCGAATGAAACCCGTTTGACCCAAACCCGTCACCCGCATCTCGCCTGTAACGCAATCGCGCTCGTGCTTGTTGTTCACGCTCGCTTGCCTGCCCGCCGCCCTCGCCATCTAGCCCTCACACTCGCCTGTCGCATTCAACCAAATCAATGGATTGGGTCGGGTCAAGTCAGGTTGGGGCAAAGTTGGGCTCAAGTCTAGATTTTTAACCTGTTTGTACAAATGGGTCGAGCTTGGGTCAAATGTGTTAAGAGCGGTCACTCATTTTAAAAATAAAAATGAGAAAAAAATACTTGTGTTTAAGGGTTTCAACTTTTTAAGAAGCCAAATTGTATTGCTCGATGTAATTGTTCGTGATATTTATCAGAGGCGTGGCCGCCGATCTACGGCCACGATCGAGTCATTGTACTTTTGATTTATCTTATGTATTTTCTTATTTATGTTATCGTTGTATTTGTTTTATTTAAATTTCCAATTGTACCCTTTTAGTAAGGGATGTCGTATGTAAGCCCCGAGGGCATTGTCGTATTTTTTATTTTTTTTAGTCTTATGTACGAGGCTATTTATAGCCCCTTATATTTCTTTCAAAGCTAATGAAAGATTGATTACAAAATTCTCTTCTCCATTTTGAGTTCTCTTGAGAGCTTGAGAGTTTGAGTGGTGAATCCCTAGGAGAGGGAAGATTGTGTATTACCCACCAACCTAGACGATTGAATTAAAATTCCCCCATCTCCTCTACCAAAATCTGAACCTAACTAAATTCCCCTCTCTTCTTCATTGGCCGGTCATCCCATCTTCCCCTCCACCTCAATTTTGGGAGAAACTTAATTCTCTCTGGTGGAACTTCAAAGAATCGACGTTGATATTTGACTACGCATCATCCTTTCAAGCCGATCCCGACACTGACTACGGACTTGCTTATGATGAACACGGATTTGTGCACATTCTTCACTCAACTTTCTTCGACATCAACCCGAGAATCGACCATACGGTGGAAGACTACATAGAGCGTATCTTGGAAACTTTGGTTGAAGCTATCGAAGAACAATTGGAGATTGCCGAGTGGAAGATTGCCGCCGATCCTTGACAAAGGTTTTCTATGTTTCCCCTTTTCTCTTATTTCTTAAGTCTAACTTTCTCTTGTGGTTTGATTGTAGTCACGAAGGACGATCGTCGCCTGTTTCTGCTAAGCTTAGTAAACATAGGACTTTGAGTGTACTCATGTGTTTACTATTCTCATTGTTAGACTAGGAATTTTGTTGAGGCTACTATCTCGGCATGATGTTATTTTCTATTTTACTTTGAAGTTTTAAATCTCTTGATATGTGACTTAGCCAAAGCGGGCGTAACCCCTCTTACGTTTTGATTTATTGTTTTAAATTGCTAGTAGCTTTCTTTGTTATTTCTCTAATCAAAAGTTGTGCAAAATCTTAACAAAATCTTTGCAACCATACGTAGTTCTACATCAGTAACAAGTGTACATTTAGAGGGGGCTATTTGTATAGAAAAGTGTTCATAAAACTATTGTTAAAAAAATAATCATTTTTTTAAATTTGTTGAAGGTATTATAATAAACTTTTTTTTCTTTTAAAAAAGTCAAGCAACAATTTGCATACATATACCACATTCTAATAGATTTGGTTATAAAATACTACTTGTCACCAAAAAACCTTCTAATAAATAGCAAGAAAGTTATAACCAAACAAAAGTGTGGTAGTTGTCTAGAAAAAAAATATATATTAAAAATATATCCCAAACAAACTTAGAGAAAGCATTAAACAAAAAAGAGACAAAATAGTGTTAGAACCAGTATTTTCATAACTCCATACAACGTGCAAGGGTTTGTTTTTTGCTTCAATGTGAAAAACACAAAATAAAGTGGCAATTTTATTAACTATACCACTTTTATTAAAATATTAATATAATTACTTTAATAAAACTATACTCACTTATTATCAAATCATCGGGCTGCTATATGTCATGAAGGTCGAGAGACTAAAGATAAGGGATGCTTCCAGTCTACAAGGAAGGATGTGGGTGCATCGATGGGGCAAATCATGTGATGCTGCAAGTTGAAGGTCAAGGGCAATCAATGATCTATAGCAATGCATGCATTGAGGGGAAAGCTCGGCTTTGAGCATGGTCCAAGGTGAAGGCCGTTGGTCAAGGGAAAAGTTCTAATTCATTCTTTTTATCATATAACTTAATAAAACTATGAAACAGAACCTGACGATCCAAACAAGAATTGAGCAATCAAAAGCCACAACACTACTACAATTCTAGCCAATGTTTAAAATTGCGTATTCGGGTATTGAGGCGTTTTTCATTCGTGAGGCGAGGCGTAAGCCTCAAGGAGTTTTGAGGCGTAAGCCTCAAAATCAAAAGATTGTAAACATAAAATGATAATTTTTTTATATACTAATGAGTGAATAATATAAAACATAAAAAAGTATAAGATATGAAGTGAAATCAAAATATTCCAATAATAAGACAACATGAAATATAGTTCAACTCAAAATTCTATCTTTCCCAAATCCCATTATTCTTTTCATTAACATATAATTCAAATTTTCAAAAATAAATAGCAATGACATATCACATAAGAACTCATAAGTCATCAGCACTGTCATCACTAAGGGGTTCTTCATTTGAATCATCATAATGATGAACTGCTCTCTCCCCATCCTCCTCTCCTATAGAGTCCAATGTCGGGCATTTACTTCAAGATTTATGTAAGCTTTAATATATATAGCGTGAGGCGTAAGCCTCATGTCAGTGAGGTGAGGCGGGCCTCAATTTGGTTGAGGCGCAAGCCTCATAAAAAAAAAAACTAGAGGCGTAAGCATCGAGGCGTTTTTTACTGGAATTGCGCAAAGGCGAGCCTCATATTGCGCAATTTTAAACCATGCTTCTAGCAAGTGCTTTAGCACTCAAAGCCATAAAGCAAGCACTTCGACAAGTCACGTTGCACCAGAACAAAGAAAAGCATAGTTCACTTGCTTCACTATCAAAGCAATCAAAGCATGATTCAAAATGCATTTTTAACAACATTGCTTAGAACACTAGAATCTTCAAAGGATCGGAAGAGCACTCCTTAAAGAATGGCCGCTAAATTTTGCACAAAATTAAACACATCTGATATGGAAACCAACAAAAAACCAAGCTACAAGTAGGTGAATAATTTAACGAGATGAACTAAGGTTTGACATATAAGAGGGGAAAGAGGTAAAACATGTAATGATACTTCACGGGAAAGAAGACTGCTTCCTGATAAATGATCCCACAAAAATTCACATAATTTCAAATACATTTACTTGACGAACCAACCAAACAAGAAGATCAAAATAAAGTGTTTAAAACCAAACTAGAAAATTTCAGCACCAAGGCAAGTAAAAATCCAAGGAATCCAACCACACACTAATACCAAAATGAAAACAAATAATAACAAGAGAATAAAGAGGCCAAGATTGAGATGAAAGATGCAAGAAGAAGCAGGTAAATATAGGACGCTTGTTTTAAACTCCTAGGACATAGTAAGGAAGAGACACTTGGAGAGCATGGAACATGAGAAGTACTTAAATCAAAAAGCCGCCATTCCATATTCTCACCAGGGATCAGTAAAATTTCCACTAAAGAGGAGTTTCATTCATCAATCCAATACATGCTAAAGAGAACCTTCATTAAAGAACATAAAGACAATAATAACCTTATATAAACTATATAAAGTACATAACATCACTTACATTATATAACCATGAAAACTAAACATAAAGCTAAATAAACACAAAGTCCTACAAAAAAACTAAATGCATCACCAAGTTATTAATTATTTCCCCAAAATTAAGCATTTTTCTCAGATAATTATAATTAAGGAAAAAAACTACCTAATTACAAAACATAATCAGTCACTCTGGTGGTTTATAAATAACAGCTAAAGTGAAGCTAAATAATATTATTCTATCAATTTCCAACAAATCAGTACCACGTGAAAAATAAATAAAATTTACACAGTTAAGTTAATAATTCCAAAATCAATGAAAAACAGCACAAAATCTAATATCATCACCTAAACCTAGAATTCAGAAAGGAAGTTTTCGCACAAAATATCATCCGTCTAAAACAACCTAGATAAAATTCATTAAATGAGAATAACATCAGAAAATGGATCGCGGAGAAAGAACTCGCCTTTATCATTTTTCCCCTGACCTCACCATCATTCCCTTCTCCGCCGTCCATCCCCAACCCTGTAGAATACAGCGCCGCCAGATCCCTCGACAACTCCGTAACCAAAGCGGCCCTCTTCTTCTCCTCCTTCCTCTTTGCATCTCTAACGCCGCCACACCTCGGCTGCAACGCGTAGTACAGCCGGTGGCCTTCATCGGACCACGGCCTCACCGCCACCGCTGACCTCTGGCGACCAATAACCCTTCTCTTAGAGCTAAAAGGAGAGGATTCACCGGCGCCCCGCAGGAAACTAACCGATTGCCGGATCACCGTGCTGGAAACCTCCATCTTCGCCGGTGGGAGGACATACAAAGAGACAGAGAGATGGAGGTAGAACGATCTGGACGGGAAAGGAGCAGTCGCTAGCTTTTTCTTGAGACGGATTGTTGTCCACGTGGAAGTACGGACGGTTTGGATTTGTTTTCGGTGAATTATATTAGTTGCCGGATTTCCACGATCCTGCGCGTGATCGATATTTTCCGGCACGTGCGAGGAAGTGAAACTGACCGTCGGATCTTGATTTCTTAATCCAACGGATGAAAGTTAACACGAAGTAACGTGCATCAACGTCAAAATGGATTTTTTTTATTTTTTTCCCATGTGAAAACTGAAATAAGAACTACATCAGAGTAAAGATGGTTAGCTTAACGAATGTAAAGTTGAAAACAGAGGAGGCAGAGAAGTTATGGCATTGCACTTCATCTTCAAGCTTTTCTTACACCATATAGCCGATGCTACAGTACTCTAAATAAATAGCAGGGTTAGTTACAAAAGGTGTGGTTAGGATTGCTTGATCAGAGATCACACGGTGAGTAGGAAAAAGGTGCTGCTGCCATAACAGAGGTAGTGAAGCACGATCCTATAAGTGAGCCGGCTGATCCGACCACTTATCAAGTCTCCTTATCAAAAACAATATATTCACCCACCCATGCTTAGTTTGGTTGGTGGGCGAGTACTGTTGGAACCAGTGCTCGATCCCCCTCGAACATCAGGGCCTCTTAATTGGGTTCAATCAAGTGCGGGCCAGGTGGTTTCTGGGTTTAGGGTGTCTCTTCTAGGTCAGTCGAAGATTAGTCACGCCGTCAAACATCTTTTCGGAGATGGCAGCGGATGGATACCTCGTTCAAAGAAAAAAATATATTTGAATTTGATCACTGAAAAATTTAAAAATGTCTAAAAATATATTTTTTTTCCATGTTTGAAAATATGTTAAGACTAATTGCTTCTTCTTGTTTTGTTGCTAGCATATAACTAATTGTCAATCTATAATACACAATCATCAATTATATCTCAATAGTAAATAATATGCTTTATTGGACTTTTGAACCAATTAAAATCAAAGTCATACAAACATCACATATACAAGCTTTGAATCTCAAACCTCTTGATTGATAGTCAAAACTATCATCCAACATATTAAGGTGAATTGCATTATAAATAACACTTCAATAAAAAAAATTATTTATTCAATGAATGTTTATACAATATTTAAATTGAAAACTTTTTAAATTAAAATCAAGATTATTAAGTTCTAACTTACAATGAGGGTTTAGTCTTACTAAAAAAGAAAGAATTAAATGATCTTAATAAAAACTAAATGTGAAAGGAGCAAGCTCATGATTAAGGCTCAAGCATTAATTATTTAATTGTTCAAGCAATTAGCAAATTTGAATTGTATGTATTTGATGAGGATCTTAATGGTGACATTGATTTACATCGTGACCAAGAATGTTAGCTACTCCATATGTCGTGGGTTTTATACTCAAGAAGCATAGTTAATTTCACATTTAAAAATTTATATCTGAAAGTTGCAGGTGGCGATAAATATGGTAGATTATATTGTCAATATTGGCCTATAATATTTTATATAATTTTGCTTCTATCTTATAATATAAAATCATTAGTTCCACTTTAGTGTTAAGTAAATCTATGATGAATTGTAGTGTAATTCTATTGAAATGTAGTTGGAATCATATTTTTGTAATTCTATGCAATGGATGTAATTAGTGCAGTTTTGAGTCTAGCAATGATATGTTATTCTACGAGTTATGTGATAGCCTTTTATTGAAGATTATTGAGTCCATGCAATGCTATAATTGTCAAAGGTTTGAATTATGTTAGAGCAAAGTTTGAATTATCCTCAAATTAGGCGCAAACAATCAAAAAAATGTTGAGTTTGTATTAAAAAGTGGATTGAAAAAGATTTAAAAAAAATTTGAATAAAGTTTGATCAAAGTTCAAGTACAACTCAAAAATAACTTGAACATAGATCGAACTCAATCTAAGTTACGGTGAACAAGACTTGAATAAGATTTGAATAAGGTGTAATCAAGTTTTAAACAAAATTCAAATATCGTTCGATCAGGTTTTAAAGAAAGTTTGAACAAGGCTCTATCACAGCTCAAGTATGGCTCAAACCTTATTTGAACCCATTTCGAATCATAGTCAAATTTGCCTCAAACCACACTCAAATAAGGCATGATCACTTTTCGAACATAGTTCAATTAAGTTTCTAAATATGTTCAAATTGGGTTTGAACAATGTTCTGTGTAACGATCAAATGCGGCTCGAATCTTATTTTAACTCCATATGAATCGTGTTTGATCTAACCATGTTCGAACAACGTACGATTAAGGTTCAAAATCATGTCCAAACAAGATACATTTGAGTTTTGAAGTAGGTTTGAATGAGGTTCAAATATAGTTCCAATAAAATTTGAATCACATCATGGAAAAACCCAAACAACGTTGAATCAAGTTAGAGCCTAGTTTTATCAGGTTTGAACTTCTCCTTTTACTAGTGTTTAATTCAAAGTAAGGTTTTAATAAGTTTTGAATCCTATTTGAACTTGGTTCAAACCTTCTAAGATTGTGACAAAAAAGTGTAACTTTGGGGACTTTCTTCATAGTGTCAATGTATACTTCACAATAATAATTGTAAGACATAATTTAATAGGGGCAACAAAATTCATTAACATCGAGTGTAAACAATACAAAATTTACAATAACAAAGGCATAATATCATTTCGACTAACAAAATTCAATAACATGAAGCATAATATTATATCATTTACAAAAACCTGAATTGCAATCAAACATAGCTTGTCTCTAAGATAGAAACAAAATACTATAGATCTAAGTAATTAAAGAACAAGTCTATACACAACTTGTCTCTGAAGAACTATGTGCAATTATTTGAAACCTTAAGAGTATTAGTCTTTTAAATCATGTATATAATATACTATATTGCATACACTCCAGAAACCCAACTTAAAATAATATAATTAAAAATGTATTAGTGTATTAGTTGTAGAAAAAATGATGGTGAGATCAACTGAATTTATTCTAATATTATTAACTTAACTATTTCTTTTGGCATATCTCTATATATGCTAGCTCTTCCACATTTTCATGGTAATAAGAGAATATCCTTTTTGTGTGCAAACAATCCTTACTCTTCATTGAAATTTAACTAAACACTTGGAGAATGGGGTCATTATTTTGCCTTAAAAATAAAATATCATGAACCTCAATATAATTTGACATACTATTTGATATAACTTATCCAAGCTCATCAAATAGTATTCTAAGCTTAAAAAACTCCTAATGAACCTTTCTTCATCACCAAGAACATACTCCAACACACATGGAGCCCACTTAACAAGATCCTTTTTAGATCGAAAGGTTCACCCAAGACAACAATATACGACCCAAATGCTTGGGTAAAGTTGCATATAATCCCTTACTAAAAATCAAAATCTATATGCTATAAAATAATAAATCTTCTTGTAAATAATACTATATCATTAAGAAACATCGTATCACTACAATGCATCTCTATTAGCATTACAATTATTACCTTACTACCCAACTGATCTATACATGTATTTAGCTATTTAAACTATGTTGTGCTAGCACTTCTGACTTCAAACCCCTTGTCTCTTAAGTTTTTTATAATACCTAACATGCATCCATGATTTGAAGTGTCACAATTACTCTTCAACTATTAAGCAATGAGGGTCAATGGCATATATATCCATTGACTTATGCATCTTGCCAAATGGATGTGTGAAATCACTAACTACATATTTATTATTCCTATCAAGCCTTCTCTTATATGAAACTCTATCAACATCTTGTTTGTTTAAAAGTTGAGCTCTTAGCATGTCCAATTTATTTACAAACTCAACTCCATGTTCTTCTTCTTCATTTACAAAGTCAACTTCTTCTTCATCTGATTTATTTATAACCATAATAGATGGGCCAATATTTTAGGTCTTCATGATAATATCTACATCAATCCTCGGTGGTTGCTTTATTCACATGTCTCACTTAAACGAAAACTTTTCTTGTATCTTTCATACATACAAACTATATAAAAGCATCAAATTTCTATTCAATTCTGACTTGATTATTCTTTAATTTTATAACTACAACAAACAAAAGGTTCTTGCAATTGATTGGAAGAGCGCAAGAACTTATCTTGGTCCTTTCCTCCATGCTCCTCTGGTTCCTTAGCTTGTCATAATCCTAATTGCGAGATACCGATAAGGAGGATGTACAATTGTCTTATATAAGTCTTCATCATTATTTCAAATACACCAACGTAGGTGTATCTATCGCAAAAAAAGATTATTGAATGTAGCATTCAAAATTAATTTCCACTATTTAAAATATAACAAAATGTATGTGACTTGCATCTTTATTGTTCAAAAAGGATAAAAAGTTCTTTTTTTTTTTTTTTTTGAAAGATGCATATAGCAGAGAATTAAAAAGAAACTATTACAAACTAAAAAACCATGGCATTCCTTTGAAAGAGAAAGGAAGCCTTTATTTGCTTTAATTTAAGCAAATAGAAGAACTTCAAAAAACAGGAAAAATCATAATGAAAATAGAATCCTCTACTAGTCATTTTAAACCAATTGGGGTGGAGGAGATACCAAAGATTAAACAACCCATAAGGTTGATTAGTATCCCAGGATTCTCAATTAGGTAAAAATTAAAAATTAGAGAGACGCCTAGATTCCATTAATCTAATTCCCTTTTCCAAATTCCAACTATTGCTTAAAATAAAATTAGAGAAAGCAGGAAAACTAAACACATAACAAAAAAATAATAGAAAATCAAATTCATCTGTTGAGAAGAAAACTTGAATCTTCACTTCTTCATCCATTGTGTTATTCACAATCTTCAACATCTTAATCCAATCTACAATCCGGCCATGAATTCCTTCCGACAATTCAATGAGCATTTTCTGAAACAAATGAAGAAGTGTGTCTAACACTATCCTCAAGACTCATCTTCTTACCTCTTAGACTCCCTTTGATTGGACCAAACACATTCAAATCTTTATTA